TCCCTTCCTTCCCCTCTCTCTAAAAATAAATAAATAAAATCGTTAAAAAAAAAAAAAAAGGAAACCTTACATCCACATGTCTAAAAGCCTACAGTCAGCACCCTTAGGTAGTAACCTCTCCAGGGTCAGAGAAGCGGCCTCTCTCATTATGGACACAGGTGCAGCAGGCAGCACGGGATCCCCAGAGGACCACTAGCTACTACTCTGATTCTCCCGAATACGTGCGTGTATCCATTGGGTCAATATTGAAGAGGGAAAAATATTTGCCATTCCAGAAAGGGGAGTCCTGGTTGCCACAAATGGAACAAACTTAGCCATCATCAAAATGAAGGTCCTTTCTAGCATTACTGTTATTACCCTAAAGTTTTACCAAAATACTAAACATTTATGTCTCTAAATACCAGATATCTGTCTTTCTCATGGTATTTAAGAAACCATGAGAAATACTTATTAAAACTGATTTGAGGTTGAGGGCAAGTTTGAATGTTTCTATGAGAAGGACAGCAGCCAGTTTATTAGACGGTTTAAATGCATGGATTCCCCCTAAAAATGTTGAAGCCTAGGTCTTTGACCCCCAGTGAACATTGGAAGAGGTAGGGTCAATCTAACAGATCCTATAGTATTTCTTTTATTCACATGGAAAAAGTACCTGATCACTGAGAAGAGAGTCCATAATCATTCATTTCCTCGCTTCCAGAATCAGTCTTTCCATGGTCATTCGGCTGAATCATAATGGGGTGGCAGGAAGAGCTATACATAAACTGAAAGAAGGTGTACACGGGTCTTCCCAGACGGCTCTTTACATGTGTAGCAGGGTCAGGGGACAGGAAAAGAAGGAAAGGCTGAGAGTAGGAGGCTGGCGGGGGAGGGGCAGGCTGGCGGGGGAGGGGCATGGCAGGGAAGAGCTGCTGTCTAAGCTGTGGGCCTGGGGACCTGCTTCAGACCCCAAGGCAGGCTGAGGTTCTAAAGACACTGGCTGCCACATACCACTATCCCAGCTCAGCCCTCATGGCATCACACGCCAGTCATTCAATATTTGCTCTTCATACCAGCGGGGGAGGGGGAGAGGCACAAACCAAGGTGCTGAGCTGAGGAGGCTGGCAGCTCCCCGTCTCCGCCCCTCCTGGGCCACAGCTGCCCACCTGGGAGCTGGAGGCGAAAAGGCCTGATGCATTGAGGGGGCCGGTGGGTGAGCCCGCAACCTTGTTTGGACGAGGAAGGAGGGAGGTTTGCGCCCTTTGCAGCCTTGCCCACCAACCCCCAGCCTTCCGCCTCCCTTCTACCTGCCCAGCATGGCAGCTGGCCCAGGGCGCCCGTTTTCACAGTCACCCTCAGTCACCCCCTCTGCTCTCCGGAGGCTGTACCCAGCTTTTTCCTGTTCCTCACCAGTTGGAGGCCAAGCTGAAAAATGATTTTCTTCTTCTCTGGGAATGGTCCCAATGAACAGGAGGGCTAGGTCTCAGCTGCTGTGACCCTGTCCTCTGATCATAGCTGATCAGCCTACGGATGACCAACTGATTCAGCCTCCTTCAGCCAATTCGCACTGAGGATTTTTACCTTGAATCAGGAACCTAGAGGTGGAAGTTGCGGTGGGGTGGAGCTTAGCCACAGGATGGCAGTGTGTGTGCGCGCGTGCGTGTGTGTGCGTGTGCGTGCGTGCATGCGTGTGTGTGCGTGTGCGTGCGCGTGAGAGAGAGAGAGAGAGAGAGAGAGAGAGAGAGAGAGAGAGAGAGAGAGAGAGAGAGTCTGTACAGGAATGCCCGCTACTGCAGCTCCGAGCTGCCTGGGGCAGGGCAGGGTCGTGGGCCCACTGAGTGTGACGTGAGATGGGCGTGAACTGGGAGGAGCAGGGTGGATGGTACAGTCAGACCTCGGTACTCGTCGGGCTTCAGAACTCATCAAACCCTGCACTCGGTCACATTTTGACAAGGAAAAATGTTTCAGCACTTGGCAGCTTGCTTGGGACTCATCGCACTTGCTAGAACTTGTACGAGTCATGACGCCGCTCTGCAAGAGAAAATGCTTTATCACTCGTCATGTTTGGTTCTTGTCGCTTTCGGCACTCGTCACGAGTTCCCCAATGCATTAACAAGTACGGAGGTGCCGCTGCAGTTCACCACGGAAAGAAGGATGTTGGTCCTTCGGCTTTGGATGGTTGCTTCTGATGGTGCCGAAAAACTCAAATTTCAAAAATATTGGTCTAGACAAAATAGCCTTGGTCAGAATTATTTTGTGACCCTTCTGAATGAATCTTTCATTACCCATGGCCAAAAGCTAAGATGATGGAAAAGCTGGCACAGAACTGACACCGTGCACTTCCGAAGCAGGCTGCGAGTTGACTTCAGAGCCCAAGGAGATTTCTTCGATGAACATCAAAGCGGCAGATTACATTTCCAAAGACGACTGTAACAATTCCTCCTGACCCATAGGCTCTTTTGCAATGTCACCTTGCCACTCAGAAGAGATGGAATGTGTGCGTCCTCCCTTTGAATCTGGGCTGACCACCTTGACCCATAGAATGAAGCAGAAGTGATATTCTGAGGCTTCAAAGTCCAAATATTAAAGAAAACCAGGCAGTTCCCAATTTTTTGTTTTGGGGAAAGCCAACCTCCATGCAAGAAGTCCAGTTACTATGATACCGCAAGGCTGTGAGTTAAGCCTAAGAGCTGCCTCCGTGGAGAGATCACGTGGAGAGAGAGAGATGCCTGACCAGCTCCCAGGTGTTCTGGCCAAACCAGCTGAGAAGCCAGTGAGGGGAGTTAGGAAGTCAGCTTGGGCATTCCAGCCCCAGCATGCAGAGGAGCCCGGACTTTCTGAGGAGGGCGGTTTCTGGCAGTCTGTTGCATTCATGGCCTTCAGTGAACCACATCTCGATATTCACGATTGTGCATAGTCCTCTTCCTTTGAATCAGGGCGGGATATCCTTTAGCCAATAGGGTGCGGGTGATGTTGTGCCAGTACTAGGCCTGATTTGCGGCGGCTTCTCCTTTTGCAATGTTTAGGAGCCTTGAGCTGCCATATAACGGGTCCAGCTCCCCTGGTGGAGAAGGCATGGGAGCCTCCACATACAGAGGCCATGTGGAGAGGTCTTTTGAAAAGGGAGAGGCCCTGGGACCACATAAATAAAGAAGCTCATACATGAGGCGCTTAGCTGAGCCCAGCCCCGGGCCAACCTGCCTGCTGAAGGCCATGAACAGATGACCTCTGGCAAGGCCAGTGGAACCACCCTGCTAAACTCAGCCCAGACTACACTGCCTGGAGCGAATAAAGCAGTTGTTTTTTAAGGCACTAAGTTGTGGAGCTGGTCATACGGTAATTGATAACGGTAATTGATAACGAAGCAACCAGGTGAGAGAGTGCTCCCAAGACCTGACATTTAGAATGAGAACAGTGTACATCCCTGTCCCGCTGGCACTGGGCTTGGCCATGGGATGTGATTTGGCTAATGGAGTACGAGCAGGCATGATGTGCATCCCTTGCTTTAGACAGTTCAGGTGATTTGGCTGGGTCTCTTGGGTCTGGTCCTGTGCCATGAGAAGAGCTGTCAGGTGACTCCTGCTCTTCAGCCTGTTCCAGAGGACAACCACGTAGGGTACACCTGCCGGGAGCAGAGCCACCACGGCCATGCCACAGGCCAGCGAGCAAGAAACACATGCTTCTTGTCACAACCCACTGAGAGGCGGGAGCTGAGGGTTGCCACTGTTACAAAAACTGTCTAAATGATCCACCGACCAAATATCATCTCAATTCTTCCTTCAGGGAAAAATTTGTCGCTTCCCCCTCTTCCACCTTTGCGGGCCAAGCCTCAGAATCCCTCTTAGTCAAATAGTGGGTTCTGACTGAAAACAAACGGGAGGGTGGTAAGCATAATCAGAATAAAAAAGAGTTACATCACAGAATTGCAAGGTATAGAAATGAATTCATTTTATCATCAAATCTCTGGGGAAATTTCTATGGGCTGGCAGTTTTGAGATGTTTGATCAGAGACTGAAGAACGTAACATGTTCTCAGTTCGTTTTCATAGTGATACCGCCTTCAGTGTGCTGGCTACGGCTGCTAACTGCGGTTCTAAGGGATTGGATTGACTCATATAAATCCTGCCCAATTTCTGTGCCGTGCTAGGTGACAATGAAGTGGCAAACCGGAGACGTCTGGCTCATGAGTCTGATGCTCGTATCCACTTCGCTCCCAGCCCTCTCAAAGGAACTTTCAGGATACACGGCATGGCCACGATTTTCAGCTCCTAGCCCTGGGCTCTTTGGGACGGGATGCCTCACCTGTCCCCTAGTTGCCAAAGCAGGGTGCTGCTGCTCCTGAGTTTTTCCAGGACAGTGATGACCTATGAATGGCCTGGCCACCTACTGAGGACCTGGGGGCGCGTGCTCTGACAGCGCACACAGGCGGGCATCTGTGGAATTCTGCATGCTGCTTGGAGCCATACCTCGCCCAAGATGCCGTGTCCTCCCAACGCCCCCGCGGTGGGGGGCGCATTTCCCTCTCTTTGGGTGCTACAATCTGCTTATGAAGTTGCTCTAAGAAACCCGGATGGCGCCAACTTTAATTCTCACGAAGCTCTAAAAGCACACCTGCAGGTTAGTCTCCTTTGCCGCCTGTCTTACCCTGGCAGGACCACAGTCTGCTCACACTCCTAATGAAAAGAACAAGGCTCAGGCGTGCGGATCCCACAGAATGGGCTCCAGCCAATAAAAGCTGAAAAATACAGAAAACCCATTTCACACAGAGCTGTTTATCATTTTATATTTTTTTAAGAACCCCAAGGAAAAATCCTTTATAGAAGGGTTGACATAAAAATTTAAAATAAAATAAGAGAATGGAATAGTAAACATATTGACAAATAGCAATTTGAGTTATAATGGCAATTCTGTAGTATTTTATCTAGGTTTTATATTAACATTTAAATATATTATTCTAGGAATTGTCTAATAAAACTAGGAAATAAAGAGAAAATTAGGATGATCCTATGTGCACTATTCAGATTTTCACCTAAAAGCCAGCTCGCTGGCACTGGTATTTGATAAGTTTTTGTTTCTTCTGATGAATTTTTGGCAATTATCCAATGGGTGGATATTACGTATTTGAAAAATAAATGCTATAAAAATTAACCCCCCCAGCACCACGGCGGTTGCGATGGCAATAAGTGTGTGTCCTGGAAATGGCAGCGGTACTTCATCGACGTAAATCTGCAACAGAAAAAGCAAAGCCTTTAAGCTTTCTGAACCTAGTAATTCAAAACACTGAACTTGATACAGTTCCCACATGGTGGGGACACTGTTAATCATGCAGCCAAATGCTGCCCAGACTTACTCAGCATCCACAAAGCCTGGAGACAGTCTCCCAATGATTCAGTAAGTAACAATTTTCACACGATAGACAGGGAATGAGAATCCTCCTTATTACCCTACACTTTTATCCTGTCTCCTTAGTGGCAGACGTAGGCAGATAGGACAGGTACGTGGCAGGAAACTGTCCTACATTCAGTTATGGAGGGATGGGCCCAGCGTGGTAGGACCAGGGTCAGGGAATGCCTGACTACCTCGTTGGGGGGTCGGGGAGGTGCTTCCTGAGCAGGGTCTTGAAAAATAAGCGGGTTCACAGAAGAAGAGAACAGGGGACATCCAGGTAGAGGGATTAAGCCTGTGCTTTCTCAAGCTATCTTTAGAAAATCCTCTAATTAAGTGCTGACAAAGGGAAATTTCTCTGTGTTCAACATGGTTTCTCTCCCTGAATGGATACCATATTTTTCTGTGTATAATGAGCACTTTTTTGCTCAGATTTATTAGGGAAAAATAAGGATGCATATTACACATGGGTAGTACTAATTCTGTACCTATATAAATGTTTTAAATTCTTTTATTTATGCTTATGTGTTGAAAACGTAACTCTAGAAAGAAGTAACGATATCCATATGCAAAAGAATACCCTGGAACATGATAATTGGTTTTATTTATAAATATAAATTTTAAAAATTGAACTAAAAAATTGAAATGAGCCCTGGCTGGTGTGCCTCAGTGGATTGAGCACTGGACTGCGAAGCAAAGGGTCTTTGGTTCAATTCCCAGTCAGGGCACATGCCTGGGTTGCAGGCCAGGTCCCCAGTGTGGGGCTTGTGAGAGGCAACCACATATTGACGTTTCTCTCCCTCTCTTTCTCCCTCCATTCCCCTCTCGCAGAAAAGAAAAGAAATAAAGTCTTTAAAAAATAAAAAATGAAAATGAAAGATTTTTTTCCTAAAAACAACATGTTTTGGGCCAAAAACATGGTTTGCCATTATACATGACAAAATGCGGTAATTAGGAAGACAAGTTCCTGAAGCCAAGATAGGATTATTGACCAAGAGGCACAGAGGTGTCTTTTTCTCTGAGAGTTTGGCTAAGGATGGTGCCATTTATGTGGAATGTACAGGCAGGGGCATATGGGGACGAAGGTGGTTCAAGCTCAGTGGCTCACGTTTTCTCTGTGAAGTATAGGAAGCAAGACCATCTTTTGAGGTAGAAGGAAGTGGAGTGGAATAGAAATAGAATAGTGGGGAATGAGGGCAAATGTTATCTGGTAAGAAAAAGGATTGATAAGGGTATAACTCAAGTTAAATGTGCCACCATCCTCCCAGTGACCCAACGGGGTATCTATTTTCTTAGGAACAGGCTCTGTATGCTATCAATTGTTTCACAATTCCTTTCAGATTCAGTATTTCTATTCTACTGACAGTACTGCTCCTGTGAGCTTTATTACCTCACTTGGTATAAATAAGCTATTTTACAATCTTTAAAAAAAATTATTTCTTAATGATTCTCTCCGTTAACTGTGCAATTACTTCCTTTTTACTTTTACTCGTTTTTGTAGTTTTTCCTCCATTCCTGAAAATTCATTTTCTTCTGTTGATACTTGCTTTTAGCCTGACGAACTTCCTTAAGCATTTTTCTTTAAGAGACATTTTGTCCACAGTAGATTTTCTTAGTTTCCTTTAGCTGAGAATGCCGTTACTTTGCTTTCATTCCTGAAGGAATATTTTCACTAGATATAGAATCCTGGATTGATAGTTCTTTCTCCTCCCTCCCCAACCTCACCCCATCACATTAAAGATGTCACACAACTTTCTTCTAGCTTCTTTGGTTTCTGACAAGAAATCTGCTATCATTCAAATTGGTGTTCCCTTATATGTAATGTTATTTTTCTCTGGATGGTTTTGAGATATTTTTCTTTATCTTTGATTTTTTAGTAGTCTGATTATGATGAGTTTAAGCATGATTTCTTTGAGTTTACCCTGTTTGGGATTCATTAAGCTTCTTGAATATGTAAGTATATGTCTTTACCAACTTTTCAGGCTTTATTTATTCAAATACATATTTTTTCTGCACTCATCTCTTTTTTCTCTACTTCATGGACTCTGGTGACATAAATGTTAGAGCTTTTGATATTGTCACATAGGTCCCTGAGGCTATTCCTTTAAAAATCTTTTTCTTCAGGTTAGATTTCTACTTATTTACTTTCAAATGCATTTTTTTTTTTTGCCATATCCATTCTGCTATTGAGTCCATCCAGTGACTTAAAAATTTTAAAAATTGAACTAAAAAATTGTATTTTCAGTTCTAAAATCTCCATTTGATTATTTTTTATAGAGTTTCTATTTCTCTGCTTAAAAATCTCTCCCTTTCCATTTATTTGAAAATGGCACATGGTTATAATGATTTAAAATATCTGTCTGATAAATCCATTTGTTGTCATTTGCTAGTTGTCTTTTCTCTTCAGAATTGATTATATTTTCTTAGGCCTTGGTATGTTGAGTAATTTTGGATTGTATCCTGGACACTGGAGATAATTATGTTGTGGGACTCTGGTTTCTGTTAAAAATTCCCTGACAAACGTGAACTCTCTGTTTGTTTCGGGGGCCAGTGATGCTGGCTGAGCTGAGGTCGCAAGGAAGCTTCACCTTCCGTGTGTTGCGGCTCCAGCGTCGGTTCCAGGCTCAAGGCCTCTGCCAGGCACCGTGCCTTCTGGGCTCCTGTGCCGCTCAGGGGTTCCTCAGGGACTTAAGTGGTGTTTATGTTACAGTTTTATTTTGAAGCCTTTGCTCTGCTTCTTTAGGCGTGTTCTGCTAGTGTGCTGCTTGGTACCTGTGCTAGTTCATGCACAGAATTAGGAATCTCCTTCTCCAACTCCCTTCTCTTAGTGCCCCCTCACCCCCACTTTCTATTCCCAAAAGCCCTTTTCCAAGTCCTCTGGGAAGAGAGCTGATGGTCTCTGAGAATTTAAGCTCCCTGTACTATTTATTGTGTTGTTCCCTGAAACTGGGCTGCTTCAGGCACAAAGAGGTGAGGAAAAAGAGAGAAGAACAAAGAGGGGTTTCCTCCGATGCCCTTCGTTTGTCAGGCGCCTCTTTTCCTAATTCCTCTGTCCGGAGAGGTGGGTGTTCTCGCAGGGTCCTAGGTGTCTGTCCTCCTGCCATGGCCTCGCGGCACCGCAGATATGAGAGCCATTCTGGGGCTGGCCCTGGGGCAGGGCCAGGAGGGCCAACTGAAGGTAGGCAGAGGGGAGACTGATTTTATTATCAATAAGGTGGTATCGGTATTTGGCAATGAATGAGTCATCAATCGATTTAACCAAATCCTCTTTCCTTCCCATTTCCCAGAGACAGCAGATGTCGTTACTTAAATTAATAAAAACGAGTCCCTGCACATCACGGGGTGATTTGGGGAGACTTATTTTGGTTCCAAATTCTTTAAATCCTGTTAGCTTTTGTAGTATTCAAGACTTTGCTATTATAATGCGCCTAACCAAAGGTAGGATAACAGCAGAGATGGCGACATTGCAGACGTGCGTGTCGGTGGGAGGGCGAGGGGGAGAGGAAGGGCGTGGAAAGTCAGAAAACTGAGCTGAACATGGAAGGTGGAGAGTGAACAAAAATAAACACAGGTCCTGCCTCATGTCATGTGCTCTCACTGCCCCATTCCCGACAACGTCACCACCAGGCTTCAGGGTACCCTGTCCCCAAGCCGTGCCAGTCACACAGACCTGCCATGTTTAAATCCTCCGTGTCTTTTGGATGGACGCTTGTTATGTTATTCCCCCAGCCCTCACCCCATTCGATACCTGGACCTGACTCACCGTACCTGAAATTCTTCAACTAAGTTACAAAAAGTGACCCCCGGAACGACGGACACTCTGAAATGAAAGAGCTCAGAGCCCTGTGGAAAAAAAACATACCTGGTCGTTAGCGGCACAGACATGTATGTTGTTTTAAGTAAAAATATACACTGGGGCCACTTTCCCTATAGACGTTTCATTGAAATTCCAGTTGCCTGAAGGCTCTGGGCATGTACAGTATTTTTCAAAATGAAAATGGAAGGAGAAGGACAAGAGTTTGAAACAGAGGCACTCAGTAGCTGATGCCGCACTTTACAGTTAGAATGCAGAGACAGAAATGTGAAACCTCACGTGGCCTTGACACATATGTTGGGCTAGCCCTCCTATTCATGGTTTGGTATGTCCCCTGACTTTCATTGGCTTTCTCAACAGTTACCTAGATTATATCAACTCCATGTGTCCTTATGGGCAGATGGAACCACAAGGCACGTCTGTGTACCTGCAGGTGAAGAGCCCATGGCCCCTGACTTTTGGAAATGCCCTTTTAGCTCCACCTTGATGGATAATGTATTGGTCTTGCTTATCAGCTCAAAAAATCATTAAGTTAATGCTAAATTCAACTTTCAGATACCTTTAGAAATAACAACACTGAAGGAAACGGAAAAATAAACACTCTCCACATACGAGGTCTGTCCAAAAAAAGTCCAGCCGTTGTTAATACAACAGTTTGCACGGCATCCATGTAACCCGGCAGGCAAGGAGAGCGGACTGGAATGTGCGTGTGGAACAATGATGACCTTACTAGACTGGTCAGTGGAGGCAGTAGATGCTGTTGAGTGAGCATGTGCGCTGTGTGCCTATTGCATTCAAAATGACTGAGTGAGTAGAGCAATGAATCTGTATCCTATTTTGCACTATGAACATTCCTCCATGGAAACTACTGGGATGATTCAGAAGGCCGCAGCTGTGTGCAGCTGGTGACTGGCAGCTTCATCACGACAATGTGCCTGTTCGTGTATCATGTCTTGTGAAATTTTTTGGCAAAACATCAAATCACCCAGGTGACTCAGCCAGCCCTTCCTACGGCCCAGGTTTGGCACCCTGTGACTTCTGGCTTTTCCCAAAATTAAAATCATCTTTGAAAGGGAAGAGATTTCAGACCATCAGTGAAATTCAGGAAAATATGACGGGACAGCTGATGGTGATTGGGGGAATTGTGTGAGGTCCCAAGGCGCCTACTTTGAAGGGGACTGAGGTGTCATTGTCCTGTGTACAATGTTTCTTTTATTTTGTATCTTCTTCAGTAAATGTCTCTACTTTTCATATTACATGGCTGGATACCTTCTGGACAGATCTCATACTTGAAGGATGCTGTTTCTGCAATTCATGGATACCTATACTTTAAAACTAAAACTGATCTTAGTTTAGACATATACATTTGATCTCAACTCAAAACAGGAATGGTACAAATGCTGCCAACTTACCTTTATGCTTAAGTTGAGGCCTGAAGGATTATACACTGGAACCTGAAGGATAGATTCTAAGTACTTTTTCAGTTTTTTTACTTTTTCTGGTACGGTGTGTTCTAAAAGTACATGAAGTATAGTTTAAGCTTGTATCTATTTTTTTCTCATTTTGTATAAAACGTTTTGCATACATTAGGGTAAAATGAAAGAGTCCACTCCATGACGTGACTAAGCTGTCCTGTATTTTTAGTTCTGCTTGACTTTGTAGAGGATAAATTTAGGGGAGATTAGGCCTTGCATCTCACTTGGCATCTTCTCAGGGGCATTGTCAAAAAGAACAAGACCTCTGACCACCTTAATTCCTTCCAGTCCCCTGCTCATGACCAGTCCTGACCTGCACGTACTTTATGTCTTTGACAATGAGATTCTTTCAGGACCATCTTAGAAGTTGTTACGTGAAGTTAAAGAAGGTGGCAGAAAAATTTCACGATAGGATCACTAAAACCTTTTCTCCCCAAGATGATCAGTCACACCTGCCTTTCTTATGATTCTTTCTAAAACCAGATGTATAGTGTGGCGGTTAAAATTGCAGTGATGTAATGGTATACAGGACCTAAGGGGGAAAAAAGCTCTGATTATGGCATTTTCCAATTCCCATAGTGTAAACACTCTCACCATGGCTAATTTCAAACTACCAATGGTTTAACAACCAGAATGCAAAATGCTTGAAGGTTTACTAATGAGTGCTCAAAGCGCTAACAGCAGGCTCTAGCAGACCACAGAAAATGCGATGTTAGCTAAAGCAAAATATTTAGTAGTTTTCTATACTGATTTTTCATTCCAAAAAAGCATATGTTGGGCACAGTAAGACTCACTGAACATCAGATGTCTGGATTTTTCGTAACATTAATGACTAATCAAAATATTATTTAATTCAATCTGTCTGCCTATCTACCTATTGCCTTAAAGTATTCATACAAAACCGAACTCAAAACGTGCAACAAAAGACTACACGTTTGAGGTAAAATTAATTGTAGAAAATTTAATTTTTCTTATTTAAAAGTACTTCTGCATCTTTTCAATTATTTTACCATAAAACCTTTAAGAAATTTTCTCATATAAGTAGAAGATGAAAATGATCGATTGTCCGGCGACCCCCCCTCGTAGCCTCCTGTGTAAGTCCCCGTGAGCGGTGACAGGAGACACTTAGGCCGACAGGCAGCGCCCATTCACACAATCATTTTTGCTCCTGATCTACAAAATAGCTTTCAAATATCGTGCGGTTCAAATTCTTCAAAAATGCTTTTATGCCACAGGGTCCAGATCACAGGAAGTGATGATGAAATAAGAGGGAAAGAACAGGAATAGAAGGAACAGCAAAGTGCCGACAGATTCAAACCCTTTTCCAAAGCGCCCCTGCTGTTTCTCATGCAGTTCTCATAAACCACAAACCACTTAACCTATGTAAGAACGACATCACGTATAAGGTAAGATAATTATAGAAAAAAAGCAAACCCTACTGAGTTCCCAGTTCTCCCTCTTATTCACTTCCGTCACGGTCACCAGATAGGGAGTTTCCACTGGCACATGTCCATCCTCACTGTGAATTTCCAAAGAAATTGGATACTGTGTAACTGGAAACTTGAAACGAGGAACCTACAATGCAAATTCCAAGGATGGATGTAAATTTGGAAAAGACAATACTAATTTGATTTCCTAGCAAAGAGTGCATAGCTACGTTCCCAAAAGTTTGGCTTCTCGAAATGAAATGGGCTACTTAGGGGTTCTGACAATAAAAATCTGTCTTACAGCAGAATCAATGTGAACTCCAAAAGCGATAGACAAACACTGTGCTAACAAAATTTGTAACTTTCTATGGGCCTCTTCCACAGGAATTTACTATGAAGATATGCAAACCTTTTTAGCTACCCCATATCCCATAAGGCACTCATGACCTGGATTCTGCCCTGACCCCGCCTGCCTCTCTCCTTGCTGGTCATGACCTTTCAGCCATACTCTCTAAACTCAGGCTCTGGAGTCAGAGCTCAAATCTAACTCCATCACATATGAGCGATGTGATCTTTGGCAAATTACCTGGCTCCAAATGGAATCACGGAGAAGGCTTAGAGAAGGGTTTAGTAGGTAGTAAATGCTTAAGAAATATTACTGTAATTCAGCAAGGGGAGAGGGTTGACAGGTATGGAATAACAACACTCACAATTTACTGTAACTCTATGCCCAATATTGTAGTAAGTGATCTTATTTTTACAGGTAAAGATAAATTACATAATATAATGCTATATATAGCTTATATGGCATTTGAAGTAGACCTACTGGAAAGTCATACCAAGTACATACTTAATTTGGCTAACGCAAACCCCAACATGCTACACCTTTGAGTGTTCTGAGACTGACAGGAGGAAATATTTCATATAATCTGTTCTCTTCACCAACATATTATATTGTCTTGTATTTTGTCACAACTACTAGGCTAAACTTCTTGATGATAGGATTTCGACTTCTATTATCCCAGAACCTGATGTACATTAGATAGTAAATGTTTTTGAGTGAATCAGTATTCACCATAATGTAGTGGAGTGCTTGACAAGTTACAAACTGCTTTCATGCATATGTGAGAGGGTATCTTTATAAGAAACTGTGAAATGGACAAGCAGTACAGATATTATTCTATCTTACAGATGATGTTAACTAACTTGTCTGGGAACACTTAACTCCAGATCTTTTTAGCTCTGTATCATCTTTAGTTCTATGCCATAATAAGACATTATTTATCTCTTAGTTTCCGTCCTTAACCAAAATACACATTTCAGAATCTATTTGATATGAAAGTACTCTGTCTTCAGGTCATTAAAAATGAACTCACCTTTTCTCTGCAATCTGAGAAAGCAACAGCATGTGAAAACTTCTGGTCATGTGTGCAATTGCACTCCTCCCGAGTAGACACATTAGCGCACTGTTTGAATTTTCCAGATTTCTGCAAACAGAATTAATAAATGTTGACTTTTCCCCTGTGGCAGAGTGTCTACACGCACATTTACATTGAGTAAATGCTCAAACAATATTTGTCCTCCGAATAAGTAAAATCCCTGAGAAAAGGGAACAAACCCATTAATAATAAAAGGAATGTATTTCTGAATTGTGTCTCCACACTTGGTGATTTGAATCCAAGTATCACTGAGCTGCTTGCCGGTTTATACGTTGTCATAGCTATCCTAGCGCGCATGAAGTGCTATCTCATGGTGGTTTTGATGTGCATTTCCCTAACAACAATATGGTGCAAAGTCACTGAGCCCTTCCCCATCGCTGTGCTTTGTGCACGGTGCTTCCTCCTCCCAGATGCCGTTTGTGTCCCCTCCACCCTGGCCTGCTCTCTGCCATCTTCCCTGGTTTGGTTAACTCCTACTCATCTCTCAGTGTGACTCCCTTGGACTGAATTGGGCATCTCTGCTCCACAGTCATATTGTGCGTTTTATGTCTGTCTCTATTACATGTCTGTCTGAAACTTTAGGGTAAGCGAGGATCAACCAGGAGATTTTTTAAAAGTTCAGATTTCAGGACCACATTCCATGGTTTCCGATTCAGTAACTATTAGTGAGAACGTGATGTCGTAGAAATAGTCCCAGGTAATTTTTGTTCCGGTTCTGCAGGGCCTTGCTGTTCACAGACACTGCACTGGATAACGCTATTTAGTTTGTATAACTTTTTAATTTAATGCCTGTTCTCCCGCATTAGAGTGAAGATTCATGAAGATACCATGCTTATCATGTTCATTGCTGTGTCCTCAGAGAACGTCTGTACCGTGCCTGATAACACCGGCAATGCTGAAATGAACAGTTGTTGAATTTCAAAAGATGCATTAAAAACTCTCATCTACTTAGGGGTATATTAGTTATATTTCCTATTCAACTCTCCCCCAAAAAACCCTGAAAAAAACCCCTAAAGATTTCCATGTAAATACAGTAAAGTCATATTTTCATACAGGAGGCTTGGCTCTAGTGACACAACCAGGTTTATCTTTGTGAGAAACTGGAATCGAAGAACTTAGCATTATAGTTGCTCACTGCCCAGAGCAGAGCTTCTTTCCTTGAAATCCAAGATTCAAGAGGTCGACCTCCTCGTGTTGTGTATGTGTGTAACCAAATGTGTGTAAATGTGTATTATTAGTTTGTTCAACTATTTTTAAGCACTCCCCATGCCTGGCACTGTTCTTGGTACTAAAGATAGAGTAGAGAACAAAATAGATTTTCTTTAAAAAACCCTGACTTCTTTAGCTTACCTTTTTATGAAATACAATAAATAAAATAAACAAGTAAAATATGCAAAACTATAATAATTGCAATAAGGACAAATTAGGCAGGGAAGGTGGATGGCGGGGGGGTGGGTGGGTAATCGTGGAGACGGGAATTGCAATCCGAAATAAAGGGGTTAAGGAAGGCCTCGCAACAAACGTAACATTTAAGCAAAAACCTAAGGACGGTGATGAAGTGCGCCGTGCCACAGTGCGTGGAAGAGCATTCCAGACGGAGTTCTTGAAACTGCAAAGGCCCTGAGGTAGAAACATGCCTGTCACATGAGAGGAACAGCAACGGGGCCTGTGTGGCTGGACCAGGCTGACCTGGGCAACATCAGGTTAGATGCGGAGCCAAAGCCAAATCAAGGGGGACCTTGCAAACCACTGTGAGAATTTGGTTTTTACTCAGACTGAGATGGAAAGACAGTGGAGAAGTTTAAACAAAAGAAACAATTTTATGTCATTGTGTGTGTATGTGCATGCATGTCCATGAATGGATACGAATGTCTGTTTATACACGTATATAGAGGCAGGTAAGTGCGTTTTTTTGGAGACAGATTCCATAGGCATCTGTGAAGTTTCCTCAAGAAGCTACCCCATAATGTACTCTTTCTCTGTTCTCTACTTAGCTCCCTCCACGCTCCGGAGAGCAGAGTGCTGCTGGGCTCCTTCCTAGGCAGGACCTTGGCAGGAGTTTGAGTGTGCTTCTGTTGGAGCAAACACTCCTCTTTCCTTTGGACACCATCCTTCTCCAGGGCTAGAGGTGTGAGATGGGTCTAGGGGCTCTTTTTATTCGAGAAAAAATGCTTTCACCCCCTATATCCCATTTGAAATCCAAATGGCAGCCAGGGAGGGGTTAGGAGTAAAGTACCCATTAGACTTCTTGATTCCAAAACCATAACCAGGAATAGCAGTAGAACGAGAGGGACTAAACTAGTAGTTGGAGGAACGGGTAGCAACAGCAGTAGCAATCATCATCGTCGTCATCATCATCACCACTATGACCACCGCCATCATCATCACCGCCATCACCACCACCACCGCCATCACCATCACAACCATCATCATCACCATCATCACCACCACCATCACCATCACAACCATCATCATCACCGCCATCACCACCACCACCGCCATCACCATCACAACTATCATCATCACCATCATCACCACCACCATCACCATCACAACCATCATCATCACCGCCATCACCACCAGCAGCAGCATCATCACCAACAAGGGCAGAGGGAACATTACACTAAATGCTACTTCTCATTGAATCCCTGTAGCTACTTCCAGCTGTAATTTTCCTCAATGATTTCTTGAATTCAAATAAATACTAGTTTATTTGTAGAAAAATGATTTACCTTTGACTTGTGAAATAGATTTCTTGGTATGGGCTTGCTAGGATCTGCATGATAAAAATGATCTGTAAGTGGAATGGCAATCCCCATATTAGATGGAGGCCTGTAGTTTATCTGCAGGTGATTAAACAAAAATATATGTCATTATTTACTATGTCTTCAATGCAAATATCTTGACTTTCCAGAAAAGCACTTTCAGAAAATATTTTGCTTTTAGCTCCAGGTATTAAAGTAAATTTCTATTCACCCTATGCTCCCAAACCAATATTTTCTGGAATTTCAGCAACCTCAATCCATGCTAATATAACTTGGATCTTGTAAATAAGTGAAAACCTTTTGAGTGCCTAAAATAGTGGTCATAAAGTCAATGCAAAAAATGTTTAAAAACCTTATAAAAAGTTCTAGTGACATATTTAGTCACTAGATTCTTCAAGTTTTGTTATTTGGCTTTTTTTTTTTTTTGCTACAAGGAAATTAATAGTAATTAATTAGTTAACAGAGTAATAATTTCTATTTTAAAAAGTCACAGATTTTGACAAGGCAAAAATTAAAATAGCTACTACATTGAAATGGGGCCAGTAATGTTAGCTCAGGACAGGTCAACATAGGGGCAAATAACTTCATATATTACAAAAGCCCATGATTATGCCACCATTTATATACATAATGATATTAATAATGATGAAACTAAGTTACCAAGAAAAATCATTATTTCAGAAACTCTTTACATTTTAGAAATAAGTCATTGTCACATCCTTGAACTAACATAGGGACTAAAAAATAACTGGAGTGTTTTGAGTATCTTAGGAAAGAAATGCTAAGATCGAATGGCTAGCTAATCACACAAAAGTACTAAGTACATCACTGGTACCCTTAAAACAATCTGCTCAGGTTTTGTTTGTTTGCTTTTTTTTGTTTTATTACCGGCAAAGTTTTGATCATATTAAAACCCTGGCTGTCTTTGTGAACTCCACTGATCCAGTCTTCCAACGGGATAACTTTGCTGGGAATGTGATGCATGGATTTGAGGTAACTGCAGCTGCTTTTCAATGTTGGCACGAATGTTGTCACAAAGCAGTCCGTTGATGCTTTCCAGGCGACAAATGCCAGTGAAGTCGTTCCCTGGAAATATCCAAATTAGGAAGGTTATTTCAAGTAACTGTTCCAGGATGCACTGCGTCCCCACGAAATTCATATGCTGGTAGCTTAACCTCGAGTATCTCCGAGTGTGGCTGCGTTTGGGGATAGGGTCTTTAAAGAGGCAACTGAGCTAAAATGAGGTCGCTAGGGTAGGCCCTAATTTCATATGATGGGTGTCCTTACAGCAAGAGGAAATGTGAACACAGGCACACACGGAGGGAGGATGATGTGAAGACACAGGCAAGAGGCAAGGAAAGGGGCCCAGAAACCAACCCCACCGACACCTTGATCTTGAACTTCTAGCCTCTAGAACTGTGAGAAAATAAATTTCTCTTGTTTAAAGCCTCCCAGTCTGTGGTATATTTTTTTGTAATGGCAGCCTGAGCAAAATAACCCAGTAACCAATGAAAGAATATAGAAAAAGAAAAGAAATGGAAAAAGAACATTCATAGAAACAGAAATAGAGTGATAAGTTTGACATAAATATCTGTTTGAGAATAAATCATAATAGAAAACACATTCTTTTCCAGGAAGACATACATTCCTATCTAACTGGACATGAGCAACACTTGGAAATACGCAAGAATCAGGAAGGGCTTATTAAATAAACACCGTAGTCACATCCTGCTCACATCGACGGGGCCCCCCGCCCTCACTGCCGGGCACCTGGACATGTGCTTTGATGACATGAAGACCATAACTTCTATTGGCACACACTCTGAAAAGAAGTTATTCCATTAACAATCGCTGTATCTCACAAAGCTCTGTTTTTAGTGGGATTCATGCACAATCCAAGTATTTGAAATTGGAACAATATTAAACATGCAACAAAACCCGACAAATTCTGTTTGAAATTTTAAAGTATTTTTTTGAATTTTTAGAGAACAGAAATACTAATAACTCTAGTGGCATAGTAAACTGTGGTAGGGGGAGCTTTACTTCTATTCCCATATTCTATAGCCATTAAAAATGGTGCATTTTAAATACATTTTTGCCAAAATATAGTGAACCACAATCCACGTAGGGTTATACTCTTAAAGGATATTTGGGGTGGAGGGGAAGCGCAAGTCCAACAAGAAACAAGGAAGCAAACAGCAAAAGTTAGGAGGCTGGACATTCTACAGCACAGCTGACCCAATTTCTACAATTCAATGGCAGGAAAATAAAATGGAATAGTACCTTTCAACTAAAAGAGACGTAAGAGATAAAATAATCACATACTGTGTGAATCTTGTTTGGATCCCAATTCAAAGAAATCAGCTACAAAACATTTTTAGAAAGCTGGGGAAATTTGATTATAGACTGAGATTTACAGGACTTACAAGTTTCAAACCCAAAATTTAGTTTAAAAAGTTTTAGGGATGATAATGGCATTGTGACTGTATGAGAGGTCATACTAACACTCTTAGAGGTGCAGACTGAAGCACGTAGGGATGAAACGGCAGGATGAAACGGCTATGCATTTAAGAATGTCAGGACATAAACAAAAAATTGAACAGGGATGATAAAACAAAAATAACAACATCTTGACTATTATTTAATTCAAGTGTAATAGAGATAGGGAAATTCTACTTTTGTCTCTATTTTAAAGTCTTCATGATAAAAAAAAACTTTAGAATATGTAGAAAAGAATGTATTGACTTGAAAGGATTGAAACATATAGTTAAGTGGAAGGAGCAAATATTTTTAAGGGTACATAGAACATTCTTCCAGCTTTATGGGAAAAATAGGAAAATACTGTAAGTTCTCAGTGACTGGGCATTTTCTATGTTTCAGATGTCCTACTTGAATTATCACATTTAATTCTTAAAACAACTGTATGTGGTAGGTATTATTATTATCAGCTCCATTTTTATAGGTAAGGAAACTAACCACAGTAAAGTAACTGTCCCAAGTTCACATTGAAAGTACCAGAAATGAGACCTAACTCAGCTAGTCTTTAACAGAGATCACTCTCTTTTAACCCCTAACCCTAACCGTAGCCCTAACCTTACAGGTTTCCCTCAGCTTATATTCTAACTTTTCTATAATTAGTTGATTTTTTTTTGTAATTAGAGAAAATCTTACTTGCAGTAAAGCATTGCTAGCTACAGTAATTTCCATTATGTAACTATCAGCTTCATCAAAAGAGCCTTCAGCTTTAACGTCCAACACAGTTGGGTTTCCAACAATTATTTTCAGTAGTGGTATTGCAGGTTTTTGAACACCTACAGAAACAAGGCAAATGGTTAATGGCGAATCACAAAAATTTTAAACAATTTAATAACAATTGGCTAATCAGGATTCTAGAACATCTAAGAATCTCTCATGAAGACTCTGTAATGCCTGTGAATACAGTTAGGAATTTATGTAGAGTTAATTTTAATAGTTACTAGAAAAATATAACTTTGCAAATATTTTCTCCAAATTTCTCACAAAAATACTGCTCCACTCCACCCCTTATTTCCTCAGCCAGGTTCTCAAGTGCACATAAAGGTCACTTGGTTGGCACTGGTCACACTGAGCTGGATAGCTCAGCCAACTCAGTTTAGAAGGCTAGTTTAAAGGGCTGTCAGTCAATTGTTATCCAGAGAAAACTTGTAGGCAATTAACATAATATGTCACCAGGGCAATTCGTGCCTGCAAGGCGACCTGTGTGCAATCTTTCCATGCTGAGAAATTTAAAGGAAATGGAGTTTTGAAACACTGTGTGGCCTAATAGCCATCTTTACTAATGAGTAAATCAGGAATGAGAAGTAAGAAATGATTTGCCTGAAGTTGCATCTGAAGTTTCCCTTAAACCAAAGTGATCTGGCCAGTGCTTCCTAAACTGTAACCAGGGATTCTGTTAAAATGCACATTCTGATTTAGCAGGTCTGAAGAGGGGGCTGATGTTCCACATTCCACCCCTCCCCAGCCTTACTGAGGTAAATTGATCATCAAATTGTATTTTTTAAAGTGTATAATACAATGATTTGTGATATGTATACGTTGTGAAATGATTACCACAACTAACATATTCACCACCTCACATATCGTTATCTTTTGTGTGTGTGGTGAGAATGCTTGAAATCTACGTTTTTAGCAAATTTCAAATACATAATGCAGTACTATTAACTACAATCACCACGCAGTACATAACATCCCCAGAACTTATTCATTTTATAACTAGCTATTTGTACCCTTTGATCAACATCTGCTGATGTTCCCTCCCTGGCAACTAGAATCTACTCTCTGGTTCTAAGAGCTAGGCTTTTTTTTGTTTGTTTGTTTAGATTCCACATATGAGTGATAACCATGCAGTACTTGTCTTTCCCCATGTGCCTTATTTCACTTAGCACGATGTCCTCCTGGTTCACCCATGTTGTTGCAAATGTCAGGATTTGCTTCTTTTTTATGGCTGGACAGTGTTCCATTGTGTATATGCACTGCATCTTCTTTACCATTCATCTGTCAATGGACACATGTTGTTTCCATATCTTGGCTATTGTGAGTAATACTGCAATTAACATAGGAGTGCAGTTATCTCATTGAGAAACTGATTTCATTTCCCTCAGATATATACCCGAAAGTGAGATCACTGGATCATATAGTGGTTCCATTTCTAATTTTTTGAGGAACTTCCATACTGTTTTCCACAGTGGCTGGATCAATATACATTCCTACTAACAGTGCAGAAGGGTTCCCCTTTCTCCACAGCCTCCCCAACTTTTGTTATCTCTTATCTTTTTGATAATAGCCATCTGACAGCTATGAGGTGATGCCTTGTAGTGGTTTTCATTTGCATTTCTCCGATGGTAAGAAATATCGAACACCTTTTTATGTACCCTCTTGGCCATTTGTGACTTCTTTGGGAAAATATTCAGGTTCTTTGCTCGTTTTTTAATTAAATTTTTGGTCCCTTTTTTTTTTTTTTGGCTATTCAATTGTATGAGTTCCTTATATTTTAGCTACTAACCCCTTCTCAGGTATCTAGTTTGCAAATATTTGCTCCCATTGCCTTTTCATTTTGTTGATTGGCATTTATTAATTTATTTATTTTTATTGTTGTTGGGCAGAAGCTTTTCAGTTTGCTGTAGTCCCGCTTGTTTACTTTCGCTTTTGTTGCCTGTGCTTTGGGTGCCATTTAAAAAAATAAAAATCATTGCCAAGACCAATGTCATGGAGCTTTTTCCTTGTGTTTTCTACTAGGAATGTTATGCTTTCAAGTCTTACATTTAGTCTTTAACCCATTTTTAGTTAATTTTTGTGAGTGATGTAAGATAAGTGTCCAGTTTCATTCATGTGATTATCCAGTCACCCAGCTCTTAATAAAGAGATTATCCTTTCTCTATGGTGTGTTCCTGGCTTCCTAGTCAAAGCTTGGCTGACCAGCCCTGGCTGGGTGACTCAGCTGGTTGGAGCATTATCCTATAGACCAAAAGGTTGCAGGTTTGCTCCCTAGTCAGGGCACATACCTAGGTTGCAGGTTTGATTCCCGGTCAGGGTGCACATGGGAAGCAACCAATCTATGTTTCTCTCTCAAATTGATGTTCCTTTTCTCTCTCTGTCTCTCTCAAATCAATAAAAAAAATCCTCGAGTGAGGCTGAAAAAAAAAATTAGCTCACTAGATACGAATGAATTTATTTCTGGGCTCTATTCTGCTCCATTGGTCTGCCTGTTTTTGTGTCAGTATGTTTTGATTAACATAGCTTTGTAGTACAGTTTAAATCAGGAAGTGTGATGCTTCCAGCTTTGTTCTTTCTCAAGATTGCTTTGGATATTCAGAGTTTCTAATGTGATATACCATATTAACAGAATAAAGAATAAAAATTATTTACCATCTCAATAAATGCAGAAAAAGCATTTGACAAAATTCAACATCTATTCATGAAAAACACTCTCAGCAAATTAGGTATAGAAGGAATGTACCTCAACATAATAAAGGCCATTAATGACAAGCTCATAGTTAACATCATATTCAAACCCATAGCTAACATCATACTCACATGTCCTCATACTGACCACATTCATTATAATCAAAGCTTAAAGCTTTTCCTCTAAAATAGGGAACAAGACAAGGATATCAACTCTTGCCACCTCTGCTCAACATAGAACAGGAAGTTCTGCCCAGAGCAATTTGGCAAGAAAAATAAGTAAAAGACTTCCAAATCAGAAAGGAAGAAGTAAAATTGCCTCTGTTTTTGCAGATGACAGGCTTTTACATACAGGAAACCCTAACAACTTTACCAAAAAACTGTTAGAAGAAAGAAGGTCAGTAACGTTCTAGGATACAAAAATCAATATACAAAATCAGTTGTATCCCTAAACACTAGCAATGAACTATCTGAAAGAGAAATTAAGAAAGCAATCCCATTCATAATAACACCCCCCAAAAATAAAATAAAATGCCTAGGAATAAGTTTAAAAAAGGAGGTGAAAGGCCTGTACACTGAAAACTCTAAAACATCAGTGAAAGGTAGTGAAAAAGACACAGTGAGTACAAAAGTATCCCACTGTGATACTGTGATTTAGAACAGGAAATACGTGTTTGGTCTTCTGTCTCACTTCTGGCACAGAGCTCTCAAAACTCTTGGAATTTCCTACGTGATGAGAGCAACAAAGCTGCCTTTTGCTATGTTAATAAGGTGACTTTTGGGTCACACCTTATGACAGGAGCTACTTGCCAGGTTGGAATTTTCAGTCCCTGCTCCCACCCCACACCCAGGATGGATCGATCCAATGGCCAAAGGTTTAATTAATTATGCTTATGTAACCAAGCCTCCATGGAAATCCAAAAGGACCGGGTTCAGAGAGTCCTGGGTCAGGGAACTCATGGAGGAGCCGGGGCAGGGGGGAGGGGGTAGCGTGCCCGAGGAGGGCATGGGAGCTCTGCGCGCTTTCTCAATGTTTTGACCTATACGGCTCTTCCTTCTGGATGTTCACCTGTATCCCTAATCATAGCCTTTTATAATAAACTAGTAGTCCGGTAACTAACATGTTCCTTGGAGATCTGTGAGCTGCTCTAGCAAATTAAAGGAACCCAGGGAAGAGGCCAGGAGAACCTCCAACCTGTAGCCACTCCGTCCGAAGCACAGGTTACAATCTGAGCTTGCAACTGCTGTCTGAAGTCGGGTTGGCAGTTTGGGGGGCTGAACCCTGGTGGAATTTGATGCTGTTTCTGGAAAGATAGTGTCAGAATTGAGATAAATTGTAGGACAGCCAGCTGGTGTCCAGAGCCTTGTTTGTCGGTATGGGGAGACCTCCCTCACAGGAACTGGGTCTAAGAACCGATTCGCCCACATTTAAGGATGGTAAGAACTGATATTGCTAAAATGTCCGTATTACCAAAAGCAGTCTACAGAGTCAGTGCAATTCCTATCAAAAGTCCAATCGAGTTTTTCACAGAAATAGGAAAAACAGCCCTAAAATTCAAATGGAATCTCGGAAGACCCTGAATTTCTAATAAGCACCCAGACGAGGCTGATACAGCTGACCCAGGGACCACCGATTGAGAGACACAGGAGAGGCTTTTCTTCACAAGAAGGCAACTGGGTTAATTTGCTGATTACTGTTTACTTCCATCAGACTCAATGAGTAAAGCTGATTGCACCATTTAACAACAATTTGGCATATTTTAAAGCTAAAATAATTAGGACACTGTGGGATTTGGGCTGGAATATAAAGAGAGAGAGGAACAGAATTTTAAGACCTAGAAGTGGTAAAAAACAATAGGTAAACTGCATGTTAAGATAAAGTTGTATTTTGAAATCAGTGAAGAAAGGATACACTATTCAATAAGCCATCTCAGAACAACTCGCTAACCACCTACAATACACCAAAACAAATCTAGATAAATTAAAGAATTAAATGGAAAGTTAAAATCATAAAATTGAAACTCTAAAATTACTTGAAGGAAATATGGACAGTTAGAATTATAATCAATGAAATAGAACTCTAAGAGTTTCAGAAAGAAGTTTTTCCAGATGTTTAGTACACGATATGATGAAAATCGAAATAGATGTCTTCCACTGTTTTTCAAAGCCCATCGTTTTCATTTATATGAATTATAGTTGGTTCCATTTTTCAAGTAAGCTTCTTTTAAAAATGGTGCTTTTCCTTTTATTATGGCTCATATGTCCTTTTTTTAAATCTAGGAGTTTTACGTATGCTTATTTTTAGTGTCTTTCTGATTTTTCTATCATCTCAGGTTCTAAGAGGTTAAAATTTCCTATTTCTTGTGCCTGCCGACCCTCCCTCCTGCTGGGCCATGTCCCTGCAGAGTTTTCAAACTGTTTTCGTTGAGTCATGTTTAACGAAGACCGATCTTTCCCCATGGAAGCCCCTGTTACCGGGGCTATGAAAATATTCCACTACGGGTTCCATGCGAGCTGCGGCTGGCGCTCTGGGATTACCTTTGTTTCTCAGCTCAAGGTTCCTGCGCCTGGTGGGTAGACTCTGGTGTCGCCCAGTCCTGGAGTTTGGGGTTTTTCCAGGAGATCCTTTTTCGCCACTTTGAGCGTCACAGAAGTGACCATCTCCCCAGCTCCATTTTTGGGTGGAATGGTATGTAGAGTTTTCTGAATCCCTTCTCTATAGATTAACAGTCTCAGTTCCAATTTCCTAACACAAAGTAGGATGGCCCAAAGCCACATCTCCTGCCAAGGCGTGGGCCTTAACATGCATCCCCGGCCTGTGCAGCCCATAGCTGAGCCCCATGTCCTTTGGGAAACCACACCCTGGCACATGTTTTGGCTTTGAGTTCCCTCTTCATTTCTGCTGGCAGACTTTTCTTTTCTTTCTCTCCCTTCCTTCTCTTTCCCTCCTCTGTTTCTAGCTCAGTTAATTACTAAATTAAAAAAATTTTTTTCAAGGATGCCATTTCTCCATCATTGTTAATGTTTCATCATTACTTCTGTAATAAATAAATGCTGGAAAATGGAGAAAAGTAAAGAATTTTATTTAGAAGCCATTGCTGGGCTTTAAAACAAACACTTGAAATAATTATAATAATCCAAACCTTATTTTCCTCATTTGTAAAATGATAATTATAGTCTACCTTTTAGGGTTGTTATAAACGTTACATTAAAAAATGTATGAAAAAATCATTGAATACAGAGCCTCACACATAGTAAGTGCTCAATAATTAGAAGCTAATACTGTTATAAGTAGAAAGCCGGCTGCTATGGAAACGAAAGATATGTCAAAGAGTATATTTCACATGCAGTGTAAACAAAAACATTTCTTTTTGATGTTTCCTGATAAAAATAAACTTACCTTTTATATGAGGTTTGACCTTCACTTTTAAAGCCTGAGATTTCCCCAGATCAACATATTTCAGGACGTTGAGGGATAGTGAATTATCATACTGCTCAAACCAATAATTACATGGTTTTGCATATATTTCCCATATCCGTCCATTCCTTTGCCCAAAGTCGTACAGGAACCAGGAGTCTTTTACAAAAGTCATACCGGTGGGTACTCTTCTAGGCATGGTAGCCTTAGCTAAAGCATTCTTATCGTCCACGATGCTTACGATCAGGAAGCTGCTGTAACCAGGGATCACCACGGTCTTCTCTATGTCTGAATCTTGGAATGACGACACAGCACCTGGAGCTAAAACGGGAGTGATTTGATATAAAATAAAACAGCCAGGGTTCTCCAAGCAGACTGGTGGACTTCATCTGCGAACACTCCATTGGAGTGTTTAAGCTCTGGTCTTCACCATAAAACACATCTGCCAGATTTCAGGTTACACATCAAATTAATTTATAGAAAGTGTGTCACAAATACGTCAAACACAAATCTGTATTAACCCTTTACTATGAAATGTATTCTATAAAATTATCAGTAGAAAAGAAAAAAAAACATGTAGGGCTAACTTATTATAAGAAAGCGGATTTCTTCACTATAAAACTGCCAAGAGCCTTAATAACTTAGCATCTTTATCATGATTCTCCCATAGAAGGAGGATGTAGCCAGTGTTTTCCCAGTACCTAACATCTGCCTGTTCCACAGAAGGTGCTCGACAAATATTTGTTGAAGGCACGAATAACGGATTGTTTAAGGAGAGCATGAAGATTTAGAAGAAAAGGGGCCCTAGGGCAGGACCATAAGAAATACATACAAGGAGTGGAAAGAGTCCACAAAGCAGGCAAAGAAGCAGCGATTGGGGGAGGGCCTTTCGAGAACCCGAGGGACGTCAAAAGAAGGCTGTCTCACAGAGCGGGGAGGGTATCGCTAGCAAATGTTCCTTCTTTTTATTATCAAATGTTTGATAGGTCATGAAACAACAATACTTGCCTCATTCTGAAAAAATAAACAAAGAGAACCTCATAACTCCCTTTATTATGCATACATGCTTTAATTTCTCTGATTTTAGATACACCAACAAAATCCTTTCCTACATCCCCTGAGGGCCACGTAAGTTCTCACCTTCCCTCTGTAATGAAATTCCCTGAGATGCCTTACTCATGGTCTTCACCTTCTCTCCTAAACTGTTGAAGTTAATCCAGTTAGACTTTGGGTTCTACTACTCCACCCAGCAACAGCTTCTGTCAAAGTTACCAATGATTTTCACACAGATCCACTGGCCAGTTTTCTTTCCTCATCTTACCTGACCTATGGGCAGCATCTAAACATCTTTGCTTAGTTCTCCTCTGAGCAGACCTTCCAACCTCTTTTCCAGTTCTACCCCATCTCCTGGACCACTAATTGTTAGAACACCAAGGGTTAGACCTCAGCCATTCCCTTTCTATACCTACAGCCATTTTCCACGTGATCTCCCCTGGTCTCATAGTATTAACTATCATGTATGTGCTGACTGCTCAAATTTATCTCTCCAGCCCAGATGTTCTTTACTGAACACCAGACTCATCTTTCCAAATATCTACCTTATTTCTCCCCTTGGATGAGTAACAGGCATCTTAAATTATTTTTTTTTAATTTTATTTATTTTTTTTAGAGAGAGGTGAAGGGAGGAAGAAGGAGAGAGAGAGAAACATTGATGTGTAAGAGAAACATCTATTGGTTGCCTCTTGCATGCCCCCAACCAGGAACCTGGCCCACAACCCAGGCATGTGCCCTGACTGGGAATTGAACAAGTGACCTTTCTTTTCACAGGCCGATGCTCAATACACTGAGCCACACCAGTCAGAGCAGGCATCTTAAATTTAATATGACCCCTGGCCTGATCATTGTAATAGCCTCCTGAGTTCTCTGCTATCTTTCTTGTACTTTCTCTATCCCCTGCCCAGTCTGTCCTCAACACAGCAGCCAAAATGATCTTGTTAAACGCAAGTCCTATCTTGTCACTTTCTGCTCAAAACCCTCCCATGGCTTCCTATTTACTCAGAGTAAAACCCAAATTCTTACAATAAATTATACTAAGTTTTGGTATGTATTTATCATATAATCCTTTGAAATAGAAATATCCTACCTAATAGTGATTTAAAATTATTTTATCATGGAGGGCAAAGTCTGCACGGACTTCCTATTTTCTGCCATTTTTCTTGAAGACTGTTTAATACAAAAATAACATCACAGGAATAAATAACAGGTACCAGTATTGATGTAATATCAATGAACTTATAGCTTGGTTTTATTATATTAGAAATACAAAATTCCTCCAGAAACCTACATAGATGAATATTTCTGGAGGTTGCCAATTGGACTAAATTTGAAGTCTACTGTTCTATAAATGAGCCTGAACCCTTCTTAAAAGATAACTTTTCATCCTTACTAGCCATAAGAGCTATAGTATATCATTTCACTTACTTTGTGTTTGAAGAGTAAGTTTAAAGAAGGCTCCGTCTTGCTTAATGGAAAGGGAACTAGACAAACAAGGGCTCTCACGCACATCTTCTATTTCAAAAGGTTCTATTATTTCGGCAAAAACAGCAGACAAAAATCCTTCAGAAGTGCTATGTTGCAGTATCTTTCTTATGTAGGCCTTTCCACTTTTCCTAAACAAACCAACACACGTGAAGGAATTTGGGTAAAACTGTGGCTTACATGAGCAAGTTTATGAACATGTAAGTTACAAACAAAATGTACCACACAAATGGCTAACAAAAGAACATTTGGTTAGTATTTCTTCAACCTCATTAGCTAATCAATTAAATGCCAGTTACAGCAATTGGAGACAAGTTTTCACCTATCAAATTAGCAAAGGTTTTTAAATGACAGCGTTCAGGAGTGAGCAGAGAAAGGCATTCATCTGCTACTGATGGGGATTAGAAATTGGTGCAGACTTCCCAGAAAGCAATTTGATATTATTCATTAAGAGCTATAGCATTATTTGTTTCTCTTCTGATTCCATAAGTCTACTACTGATAAGGCTTCACCTCAAGGAAGTAACTTGAAACATGGGGGTGCGGGGTAGGGGGCATCTCTCTACATAAAGATGTCCATCACAGCATTATGATAAAAGTTAGAAATAAGAATTACCAACAATAGGAAAATTAAGTAGATGTTAATACATGATCTACTTAACAAAAATGCAACTGTTAAGCTGGTATTTACAGAGTTGTTAATTACATAGAGAAAATGGTCTTATTACAATGTCTAACTGAAAGAAACAAGGTGAAGAAGCAACGTCAACTCAACCTCAGGGCAGAGGCTAATAAACACTATTAGAGGGAAGTATAAAATAGTAACCCTCTACCCCCGACGGGGGGTCGGGATGCTGTCTTGAGCCTAAAATTCTAAGGGAATGAAGTAGCATTGTCTTATTCCTAGAAGAAGAGTAAGAAATGTCCACCCAGTATGCAATGGCAGACGTAAGGAAGAATTTGGCTGCAAGGGGTTATTTCTTTTTTGTCTTTTTTTTTCCAATTTTCTATTCAAACTTCTTTATCAGTCTTTATTAAGCAGTACATGTGCACTAAATTCCATTTTAGAAGTTTCCATATGATTTTCACAGAAAAAAAGTTTGAAAACAACATTTAAATACAGCATGGTGTTCCACCACACCTTTCATCTTTACAGGGCTCAGCGAAGCCTACAAGTGAACTATGATTTAGATTGAACTCATGTGAAGATCTTTATGTTATCTCTGAAAATGAAAAGGATAGCTTTTTAAAACACATTTTATTGTTGTATACTATTATGGCAACTTCGGTACTGCGACACAGTCTATTTTGAGGGAAATTTATGATTTTTTTCCATGCAAAAATCTACACAAACTAGTCATTTCTATTAACAGTTGTCATTTTTTTTCGTTAATAAACTTGACACGCTCAATCTCACATTTAAATGCAAGAAGAAAGGCCAAGGAAAACCAGGAGGGGATGCTATTACTGTGTTATATAGTTAGAGAAATGCAGTGGGGTGGAGAGAAGACAAATGACAGCAATGAAAATGAAGAAGGACTAGAAACAGACCACTGCATACATGGAACTATGATATATCACAGGGTAACACTGCAGATCGGTGGGGACCCTTAGGGCAATTGATTATTATTAGAGAAATAAATAAATAAATCATATTCTCATTTCCCAATGCACACGTCAATTCTAGATAAATTAAAAACGTAAAAATAAATAGCAAAAGTTTGAAACTACTACCAGACACCAGAGGAGCATAGTTAAATAAGTTGTGGTGTGTTCATCAGAGTGAACTATAGGTGCATATATCAATATTGAGTAATTTATGAAGCATAAGAAAAATTTAAAAGCATGATGAAAAAAGGCACAGCACATGAGAAGGTCTACATAGCTACATAATACATGTAGCAAAACTAAATATATTTCGATATGTATGCATACGTTAGAGTTATAAAGAAAAAAAATGTTTTCAGTGTTCCCACAAAATGCAAGACAGTGCTCGTTCCTGGGGACTGGCATAGCCGTGGAGGTGGGACAGAGGCAGGAGGGAAAAGGAATGCTGCCCAGAACGATGGCCCGCTGCCGAAGGGAGAAGGGGGAAGGCACCCAGGAGAGCGGCAGAGGAACGCAGAGCTGTGGTGGTGATGGGCCTTCTAGTTGTCACCGGTTAGAAGAGCGGCATTGCCCTCTTTGAAGGATTCTGGAGGTCTCCATCAGGAAGGCCTCTCGCCCCCTCTACTGTCCTCCCTTCTTTCGCCCAAACTAGAAGGGCTAGAAACCTAAGCTATGACGGAGGAGGGTATGAACCAGAAAACAGTAAGAATGAGAGACACTCTACCTCCCTACCCTCTGGGCTTCCGAGTTTGGGTCAGGTTCCAAATACAGTTTGGGAAACAAATATGAATTGGTTAAGAGTATAAAGCTTTTTAAAACACTAGACAGGGATGGCATCATGTGATTATTACTTTTTTAAGTCAAGGAAATATTTATTTACTTTCTAAGAGAAAAGCTATACTTTTCACCTCATACTTCATCGAGAGGTAGACAGGAAATCAGTCCACAGAGGGGATTTCAGAAGGCACAGTAGGAAGAAAAACAAAGTTGGTTTCCCCAGCTTATGCAGTAGACAAGTGACACGTCTATCAGCCCAGTTACTCAGCTCATCCGAAGCCTTCTGTGCTTCGTCCTCTCCTGGACTAACATCCAAACTCCTTACCGGGACTCCAAAGGCGCTGCCCGACTTTCCTCCTTTGCTGATGACACTGAAGTCACCTGGTTGGTTTTTGTTGTTGTTTGATTTCTCAAACACATACCGTGTTCCTTTCGGCTGGGGGCCTTTTCCATGCTGTGCTCTCAAGTCTGGAACCTTCGTCCACCCCCATTCCTCATTCTTCTAACCTGCTGTGAGCATCCTTGTCCTGAGAACCTTCCCAGAACCTCCAGCGGGGCTCCACCCCAGGAAACCGCTCGCTCAACGAGACACACTTTTCTGATGTAGACTTATGTCAACTCTAACTACCTTCTTGCCCACTTCCTGTTCTAGAATACAAGTTGAAGTGATGTCTTCCTCTTAGCTCTATCCCAGCACAACCATAGTGCCGTCATGGATGAATGCTCAATAATTATCGTGGAAGAGACCGATGAAGGGCTCACTGCGCTTTACTCCCTGACTATCTAGCCATCTGCCTCTGGCCTCTTGCTGACGTCATAACTTTTGGCTCGCAGATCCTGGATGGGCCTGGTTGATGTTCACTTAGCCCAGTTCTCTGATCTTGGCTCTTTTCTCTTATTTCCTGCCTTGGAAATGCCTGTCCCCTAGTTTCTCTGCAAGTAGAGCAAAGTTACTGCATCTGATCACAGAATGTGCTGGTCTGGTTTTCGAATATCCTGATCCTTAAGAGAATTTTTATAAAATAGGTTATGGGAAACTCATATTAACATTGAGATCATATGAGCACGTTAATTTTTTCAAAAGTGATTCTATGCTCTCTACAAGGACATTCCTACAGTATAAACACCAACAAAATGACCTGGAATGTCACACATATAAAAGCCACTGAGAACAATGAAGTTCTAGCGATCATGGATACTTTGCTTAGAGACAGAAAGTTCTACAGTCCTTGTGGGAAAAAAAAACTACCACCAGCATTTGTGCTATTATATCTGATTCCAATCTCCTTCCCCAGCTCCGAGGGAGCGGCTGCACGGTGCGTGAGGTGCTGCCTGTGGGACAGGGCGTGCGCTGACAAACCAGTTCATAGGTAATAAACAGATTCTCACCTGGCGGAAGAGGGCCCACTGCCTTTGGGATAGGCTGAGTTTCTGGTAATCTGAAATTGTTCCTTTTTTGGTTGTTAGTTTTTTTTGCGGGGGGGGGTTATAGAATTCATAATGTTCTTCAAAGACAGTACCTAGGCCCTAAAGATAGCCTTAAGGGTAACAGTGGCTCTTGCCAGTATCTTAGGAGGGAGCGCACCCGAGAAACCCACATACCCTGTCATGCAGTGTTTCACGCAAGATGGCCTTCGCCACGTTAGGCGTATCTGTTTTTAGGACACACAAGCAGTGTCCAGCGTGGCCTTGAACATTTTACCCTCATGGCAGAAAATGCACCTTTCTACAGCTTGGCCCCATGGTGCCACTGTAACTAGCTCCAAGTTTCTGAAATTGTAGCATCAAGCAAGGTACCTTGGAGTCTACAGCTGTATTTGGCCTTGTGAGGTATCAAAAAAGAGAGAGAGAGAGAGAGAGAGAGAGAAAAGACTCACTCTATTTGACCAAGAAAATTACTCAAAAAAGTAGGCTCAAAATTGAGAATCCAGGAACCAGTGTGCCAACTAAATAAACGTAAATGGTTACCTGAAGTGTATCACTTTTCCAGAGTGAATGTTGTTGAATTTCTTGGTATGTATACTTTCTGCAGGTTCACTGTCGGGCACGTAGGCATAGAAGATCATTTCGTCCAGGGAGATATACTGTGGGGCAAGTGCAGTCTCAAAGCCCATATCAGGAGCCTGGAGTGGGCGAAATAATATTGCATTTAAAAAACTTTATACTTCGATGATGACAAAACGTAGATTGCAGATCTGTTTCCAGTTCATATCCGAGCAGCACTGTTTTGCTTATCCATAGGGGCACTACCTCAGCATGTTCTGTTTGAATGTCCATGTACATAGGGAAAATGTCTGAGGAGTAAGTTTTCCTCTAAGATTCCTGTGCCCTGGCCTGACCCGTGTGGCTCAGTGGGTTTGGCGTCATTCTGCCCCGGGGCACATACCAGGGTTGCTGGTTTGGTCCCTGGTCAGGGCACATACCAGAGGCAACCGATCGATGTTTCTCTTACATCAATGTTTCTCTCCCTCTCATTCTCCCTCCCTTCCTCTATCTCTAAAAATAAATTTAAAATCTTAAAAAAGAAAAGAATAGGTTCTGTGCCATTTGTAGAAGGCTGGAGCCGAGGGGTGTAGAGAGGCCCGAGCGTACCGCTTGCGTGTGTGGAGGAACCCGGAGGTGCAGATTCTAAACTCGGTTCTTATCCAGACCTTTATTTAGGACAGGAGCCCGGAAGCACCTCCCTCCCTTTGCAAGTTGCCGCTCCGGGTCCCCTGCTGGTGACTCTGTGCACAGATACCGTCTGAGTCCCCAACGCCAGTGGCCTGTGCCGTTCTCACTCCCGCTGGTTCATGAGGCTTTCCCTCGTGGCCAGCACGGGCAGCTTCGGCCCAGCTTTCTGACGCCGAGGGCCTTCTTTTTAAGACACCCCTCTCGGCTCCCAGCCCTGTGGCTTTGGGAACTTTCAGGGGGTGGGCGGAGAGGTGGAGGCCGCGCCCGGAGGCCGGCTGGAGCGGGCCTGCTGCTGCGACCCGAGGAGTGAGTGGTACCTAGCGCGGGCTGGTTGGGGGCCCGGCCAGCATAAAACACCCCCGAGCCCCATTTTCTGTTGCCTTTTGCTAGTCTCTTAAATTTGGGAACCACTGAGAAGGGGGGAGAGCAAGAAACAGGTGCAAGGGGAATGAGCGCGGGACCGAACCGACGGCTTCCGGACCCTGGAAAGGCTGAAAGCGCTGTAGAAGTCTCTACGCCCCGTGCTAGCCCGGGAGTGTCAGAACGTCCCGTGAACAGCGCGTGCGAGCCGGGGAAAGGCGGCGGGGTCATGACCGAAAGCGCGGGCCCTGGCGCCGCGGGCCTGGAGGGACGCCGGGTCCAGTCGCTGCCCGGTGGGAGATGTAACTGGGGTCAACGATGTGGCTTGCTGCGCCTCACTTCCTCCTCCGTAAAATGAGGACCCATGGGTGTCATCAACATTTATAAGGGCTCACAACAGGGCCCAGTGAAGGCCAGCGATCGTTTTTCATCTGGATGGGATGCAGGGATAGTTTGCTGGGCGGGGCGGGGTGGGGCGCGGGGTGGGGGGTGGGGTGACAACACTGGGGATGCGCTCCTTGAACTCATGAGTATAAAAATCTCGCTCGGCATTTGATTTTTCTGATTTAAGCTTTCATGGAAGAGAAGTAAGAGTTTTTCTATGAAGTGTGAAGGTCGTGAAAAATGGAGGTAAGCGCTTGTTTGGTTAGTCCCGCCCTCCTGTTCCCATCACTGGATTTGCGTCAAAACACCATCTTCTTTGTTTTTTAACATTAACTAATATTTTATTTTTCAATCACAGCTGACACACAATATTATATTAGTTGCACGTGTACAGCCCAGTTTCTTAGACATTTATATAACTTGCAAAGTGACCCCAATACATCTAGCCCCTTCCTGGCACGATACATAGCTATTATGATATTATTTACTATATTACCTATGCTGTACTTCATACCCCCACGACTATTGTGTACCAAACAATCTATTTCTTAATCCCTTCCCCTTTTCACCCCTCCCCCAACCCTCTCCCATCTGGAGATCATCAGAATGCTCTCTATATCTGTGAGTCTGTTTCTGTCCTGCTTGTTTATTGTGTTTTTTAGGTTCCACACAGACGTGAAATCACGTAGCATTGGTCTTCCTCTCTCCGACTTATGCACCCTGCCCAACACCCTCCCGGTGTTTCCGTGTTGTCGCAAAGCGAAACACCATCTTTCCAACTGCCTTCTTGGTCTGCAGACTGGAAATGCTCTGCTACAGCTAGACTCATCCTTCGTTCTCCTTCCTTTGGGCAGGTTTCGTTAAACCCCAGTCAAAAAATCTGTTTGCTTCTTTGCCCTCATGTTGATAAAGGCCCATTTTCACGACTGTGTGCCCAGCAGTGAGGCCGCAGGCATATGGACATTCACAAGTGGCGCACTGAACGTTCAAATTATTAGAACAACCTGTACATAGCATCATCCATGAAAAAGACAAGAGCTCTTTCCTATGTTAGCATTACAAAAAGAAGAAACAAGGGGGCAGGGTTCATATAAAGAAGGGCAAACCAATAGGGAAAACAACTGGTATTTGTTCAAGGTCAGTCTTGAGAGGTAGGGAGTCCAAGCCACCGTGAACCTGGGTCGGCAGTAACGGATCTGGCTTAGACTACCTGGTGGTGGTCTGCGGTGGAGGTACTTGTGTGGAGCCACCCAGGGTGGAGTTAAATCTATGTGACCCTGAATGGGACCTGCAAGGTTTAGGAGATGTTCCCTGGAATATGGAGCTTTTTCCCCTAGTTATGTAGAGCAAGGTGCATTAATAAGGGTTTGTCCCAAAGGATATCTTTTCCCATTTTCCCACTCTGTGTATGGAATGTGGCATTTATTTTTAACACAAGGCAAACTGCTGAAATGCATTACATCACTTACCTGCCCAAAGATACCTTTAGAATTTACAAAGGCTCCATGTAGCTCACTGGCTTTGAAATGATCTGGAGTCAGTTTATGTATGAATCCCATGTGGTCATAGTACAATGTGAAAATGTTATCAGTAATAGATCCAATTCTACTGTATGTTTCTAATCCTGTTAGGAAAGAAACAGAAGTCTCTTGATACTGACCTAATACAACTGGAGAAGTTTTAATAGCACACTTTGTAAAACCTCCTCATTTAAATGAAAGGGTGAGTGTAGAGCTCTGAGACTCCAGCATTCGTGAAATACATGCTAGTCTTTGCTAAGTGCCTAGGAAGTCTTTTCCTGGCTCCATTTCATTACAGAACCTGTTCACTGAAGTAGGTGAAGGACTGACAGAGTGAGCAGGTGTTAAAGATGTCGAGAAGAAGAGGGGTTATGTCCCCCGGTTGTGGTGTCTCTTCCTAATAGCAGGGTGTCAGATTCCTGAAGAGGCAGAAGGCAATGAGAAATAACCCTCTGGGAGGCAAAGGAAATTAGAGTAGAGACCACTGGACCATAAACCATAGTAGACGTTGTTCCAAATGTAGTATCCTGTGTTTCTCTCGTGCCCTAAGGCGACACATGGAGGGTTGTGGGAATAGTCTGGCAGGAGGACCACAGCATTCCCTTAACCAGACACAGACCCAGAGAAGGCCGGAGCCCCCTGGTGGAGGATGGGGACGGAGTGAGAGCTCAGGGCTCAGGCTGAACAAGGCTGATTTCCACACCCCGCCCCAACGCTCCTGAGCCGGGCACGTTGGGGGGGGGGCGAGAGGGGGTGCCCCCTGAGAAGCCCACCCTCCGTCTCTGATCTCTAAACGCCGGAGGGCTCCAGCTCTCGGAACTTAGAGCTCTTCTCTCGCTGTCTCTGAAGGGCTCGTCCAGTTTTAGGATTTAAAATCCATTTTTAGGCAGGTGGCTCCCAAATTTAAACCTGCCATCTGGTTCTCCTCCATGAATTCCAAATTTACATCTGACTGCTGGCGGACAGCTCCAGATCCACCTCAGTCAGGCCTCCCCGACTGGACCCGCCCCACACGGAGCTCCTAATCCTCGAGCTGACCTCCCTCGTCCTGAGGCCCCTCGTTTCCATTTCGGCATCCTTCCTGTTGCTCAGCCTGTAACCCTCGGTGTCCTTCTTAATCCCTCGCACAGCCTATATTTAATCCATCAGCAGAGCCTATTGACTTTAGCCTCAAAGTACACATAGAACCCAACCACTTCTCACCACTTTCCAAAACGATATAGAAAAAGGAAGCGCTGCATTATGAGGAAGTAGCTCGTGCAACGGTGGAGGCTGAGAAGTCCCACGACCTGCAGTCTGCAGGCTGGAGAGCCACACGCCGAGCACCAGGGGAGCCTGCGAAGTTCCGGGCCACTAAGGCACGTCCCCCTCCAAGGGCAGCAGACCAACGCCCCAGGCCAAGCAGACAGGCAGGAAGCAAAGCGGGGGAATTCCTCTTTCCTCTGCCTTTTGGTTCCACTCAGGTCCCCAAAGGCCTGGGTGATGCCCACCCCACCCCGGAGGGCTCGCTGCTCTACTGAGTCCACCCATTCAAATGCTCACCTTACCCCAAAACCTCTTCTGAGACACACCCAGAAGTCCTGTTTAATCTGCGAACTTCTTGGCCTTGTAAAAGTAACCATTAAATTTTCTAAAGTTCAATATGCCATATGTCATCTATAAACATGAGCTATATTTTTCCCACATTTTTAGTGTCTTGTAAATTGTTTTATAATTGGTGTGTCTTACAGCTATTGTCCAGCAGGTGGCGCTCAGGCCACAGTGGTCAATCGCCTACACGCGCATGTACCTGTCTCAGCGGTCTGTACACTGTCAGCACTTCCCTGATTCTAGAATCACTGGTGTAATGCATGTTGGATTGTATCGCTGCTAAAAATGCCCTCAAAAATACCACATTATGAATCATTTATCATGGGTGCAGCACAAGGGGAAAACAAAGCAAGGCATGTAATCATCGGTAAAGCAAAAGGTGACCTAAGAAATACCACAATTCCACATTTTCTTGCAGAACCACAACCAAGTACTAGAACCACCACCAGGTACTTTATAGGACCTAAGAAAGGTAGAAAATCAAAAGTAGATGAAATTTTATTATGTTTTTCTACAGAGATGACATGCAAAATCGCCGACCACACACCAAGCAACACAAGTCTGAGGGTGGAAATAATGCCACAGCAACCTATGCACCGCCCCCCAAGGTCCCTGCAAAAACACTGTGTTAAGGTTTAACTGGAAGATTTTTTCACTCTTTGTGTTAACAAGGTGCATCTAAGAGTTAATGGACCTCAGATTTGATGAATTATAATGTTCATAACATTCTTGTGTTGGCTTTGCATATGAATAACTAGTTGAAGTAGCTCCAGATTCTTAGGTAATATTATTTTCCTCAGAAGGCTCTTTAGGTAAATATGAGATATTTATGGTTGTAGCAGAAAAATCCAAGGCTGGTGTGATTTTTTATGTGCCTTTAAAATTGATTTACACTTTCTGTTTCAAATAATTCAGAAGTATCTTTGCTTTTATTATTGATGTTATTTTTAGTTTTTAAAAAGTAATGCTTTCTCGTCAATTTTGGTTTTCTTTTTTCTTATATTCAGCATTTACTCATTTATCTGTGTAGATAAAAGAAACAGAGAGCCGCCACCTCTGTGCATCACTGGAAATTCCTAAAACTTGCAGTTTCTCAATCTTTAGTTTCTGGATTTGTCATTTTAGATTCTTTCTATTTACTGGTTTTTCATTCGGTGTGTGGACATGTTCCTATAGTTTATATCTATAATTTTTAAAAGTTTAGAATTTATATTGCTCATTTAATTTAGTTTCCGTAGGTGTTAATTATTTTTACCATTTCCAAAGTCATCTTGCTTAGTCTATTTTGATTTTTGTTTCATAAGATGTGCTGATCCACTCTCAGGCTTCCTGTTTCTTGTCCGGGGCCCTGGAACGCTGAGCCCTATGAATCACAACACTTGTGCTGTTTCTGGCTGGCTTCTGACTGGATTTGACCAACCAAAAGCACTGACAGACAATAGGAACAAGGGGAGGAGAGAGAAGTCTGTCTGTCTATCTGCCTGCCTGCCTGCCTGCCTGCCTACCTACCTATTATCTATTTATTTGTATTACCCCTTTCATCAAAGGGACTGTAATGACTTCCTTCCATTGTCGGTCTTCGGATATTTTACTATCATTGTTGGTTCTTTAACTGTCCACTCCTCTTCAGGCGAAGCATTTGAGTGGAATTGTGTTTTCGGCCAGGACCACAAATGATACAGTACTTTTATCAGAAAAACCTGGAAAGCAGAACATCAAGGCAGGATTCTGGGACTGAGGAGCTCACACATTTAAGGAACGCACAGGTGACCTCTACCTGGTAGGTTTTGCGACACGTGCCGGGGTCACTGCCCAGATGACTGCTGGGAGCGGCGTGGGCGGCGTGCCAGCGGAGGCCAGGCCCCAGGGGGACGTGGGGTGGGGCGCGTGACCGCAGGGGCAGCTAGGGTTTCACAAAGATGGGGGGTGGCAGGGCTTCTGTGTATGTATCGGAGAGCTTACAAAAAAAAAAAAAAAAAAAAAGGCCTATGACCTTGAACGTCTAACTCAAGGCCAGGGTAGAGAACCTGACAGCTTTATGGGGAAAAAAACTTTTACCTCAAACCACATATGCAAAATTAGAGATGTTACATAAGCCTACATAAGAAATCTAAAACAATATGCTGGAAGGAAGCAGGAGAATGTCTTCTTAACTTTGGAGCAGGCAAAAATGTCTTAACAGGAGATGACAAGCAAGAAGCACTAACCATAAAAGAAAAGATTCATAAATTTGACTTCTGAAAATCAATAATTTGGCTCACCAAGAAATACCATGAAAAGAATAAAAAAGACAAGCCAGTGGTTGAGAAAAGATGTTTGCAAGTTACATTGCTAAAAAGGGACTCATATCCATAATACATTCAAAAACTCATAGAAATCAATAAGAAAAGGTTAATTCAATCAAAACTTGATTTAAAAGGACCAGAAGATATAATTTATCAAAAAAGATATAAAAATTGGCCAATGAACATATGAAAATATGCTCAACATAATTACTCATGCAAACGAAATCTTCAGTGAGATGCCATTACATACTAAGCACAATGGCTCAGCACTGAAGAGACTAAAAACACTAAGTGCTGGACAGGAAGGGGAGCAACTGGAATTCCTTCCCATCGCTGGCAGCGCGGGAAACTCATTACACTCACTGCAGAAAAGTGTTGGCACTGCTCAATTTTTTTCCCACCAAAAGCTAAACAAACGCATACTGGATAATGCAGCGATTGTATTCCTAACTATATTCCAAACAAGTGAAAGCTCTGTCCAGCAAAAAAAAGTTATGCAAAAAGTGTAGAGCTACTTTTTAAATAATAGCCCTCAAATGGAGATGATTCAAATACCCATCAGCAGCGGAATGGGTGAATATTCACACAATGGAAGACTACACCGCAGTGAAAAAGAACAAAGTACTAACACACGTTAATGGAACGCAGAACTCTGAGTCATCATATTGACTGAGAAAAGTCAGACACCAAAGAACATATACTGCATAATTCTATTTCCGTGAGGTTCAAAACCAGGCAAAACTGTGGGATTAGAAGCTGGGATACTGGCTCGCCATGGAGGCACACGGACCGCCAAGCGGCTGGAGGGAGCCTTCTGGAGCGCCAGACGTGGTCCGTGCCTCACTCGACTTCCCCACCCCTCCCAATGGTGCTCAAAATCATTGTTGTTTATTTCATAATCACATGATGGCTGACCATCAGATTCGTAAACGCTACTGCACAAATGCTGTCACAACAAATGATTTAGACAAATAAATTGCAAAGGTAATCTTGATGCCAGCATGAACCAGCAGAAGTTTTATTGACATAACTGAGAGTAAGTAAACATAGTGGCAAAGATATGGGAAAATAGGATCAGAATTTTGTGGTCTCTCCTTATCCTTGAATTCGGAAGGACAAACAGATGTTAGGGCGACAAAACTGATTGTGCCCCTGAGCACCGAGGACACAATATTGGGGTCCGAGAAACCAGGCTTTCTGAAGTCGTATCAGAAACCTGTAGCCAAAGCGTGATTCAAATTCTGTCAGAGACTTACCAGACCAGAAAAAACTGGTTTTCAGCTAGACAGTCAAGAATGCTGACAATGTTAAAAACAAACCAAAAGAAAACCGGTCTCACGCTTGTCTTGGAGACAATCTGTTTTTCCCACTCTGGTCAGACCTTATCAGATGTCCCCAAGTTTACCCCGATCTCCACACTGACTCTATATTCTATGGAAGTGCAACTCAAGTTGCGCTGGGAGACTATATTCCTAAAGGAAACCTCCCTCGCCTAGTAAGTTACTGAAGTTCAGCATTACTTTTATACAATTGGTAGCATCATCATTCTGGGAACACTACCAGAATGAACCATATATATACACACACACACACACACATATATATATATATATAAACATATCTATATTACTATATATTTTATATATAATACATGTTTATATATTATATATTTATTTTCAAAAGTTAAAAATTTATGAATCTTTTCTTTTATGATTAGTGCTTTCTGCTTCTCAGATCCTGTTAAGAAATTTTTGCCTATTCTAAAGTTAAGAAGACATTCTCCCACTTCCTTCTAGCAGGTTGCTTTTGATGTCTTCTACATGCTTATGCAAAGACTTGTACATAAATGTTCACAATGGCATTATTCTTAACCTCCAAAAGTGGGGGGAAAAAACATCAAATGTCTTTCAACCCAAATATCCTGGTAAATGGGTCAATAAAATGTGCTCTGTTCATACAATGAAATGTCATTTGGCCATAAAAAGGAACGAAGGGTGAGGTGTGCTAACCCGTGGATGAAACCCGAAGACAATGTGTTAGTGACATAAGCCACTCACAAAAGGGCACGTACTGTATCACTCCATGGATCGGAGGTGCCTAGAGCAGTCAAGTCAACAGGGACAGAAAGGAGTGGCCAGGGGCTGGCAGGGAGGAGGAGGAGGAAGGCCTTGTTTAAGGGGCATGGAATTTTAGTTCAGGAAGATGAAAAAGTTCTGGAGGGAGACGGGTGGTGATGGTGGTTGTAAAGCAGTTTGAATGTGCTTAATATCACTGAATTGTACACTTCCAAATGGTTAAAATACTAAATTTTGTGTTTTACATATTTTACGATAAAAACAAACATAAATAAATAAGTAGATGGAGAGCAAAAACCAAAAACAAAGCCATCAGCAGAAATCAAAAAAAGAAAAGGAGCAACATGCCAAAATAGAGAAAAAGGAGCTAAGGAAAGAAAGAGACACTTCTGGGGTGACAGGTCACGCTACCCTACACCCAGCCCTCTGAGGCAATATTGAGGGAAGAAAAGTAAATTAAAAATTCCTGAGGACCCTCCGTAATAGCCTCCTCCAACAAGGGAGAAGGTGACAGCAGAGGAGATGGTATCCAGAGTAAGAGCAGAGTGGAGAGTCAAGCTGTCTGGAGTGAAGTCAAATTACAGCCTTCCAAGGCACTGCCCCAAGCTGAGAAAACGAATCTAGGTCCTGCTTGACGTGAAGCAAACAGGTCTCGAGAATAATTCACCTACATTATATTAGAGCAAATAACATCGAACCCAAGAAAATACCCAGAAATCATCTTAACCAAGGAGGTTAAAGGTAACCCACAAAATGGGAGAAAATATTTGCAGATCATATATCCAATAAGGGATTAATACCCAGAATACATAGAGAACTCCTAAAACTAAACAATAAGAAAAATACATACAATCTAATTAAAAAATGGGCAAAGGACTTGAATGGACATTTCCCCGGAGAAGATTTACAAACAGACAATAAGCACAAGATACTAGACATCACTAATCACTAGGGAAAATGCAAATCGAAACTATAATGAGATACCACCTCACACCCTTTAGGATGACTACTATGAAAAAAACAGAAAATAGCAAGTGTTGATAGGATGTGGAAAAACCGGAACTCTATGCTAGTGGTGGGAATGTAAAATGGTGCAGCCACTGGGAAACATATGGAAGTTTCTCAAAAATATTAAAAATAGGATTACTATATGATCCAGCAATTCCACGTCTGGTTATACTCCCACAAAAATTGAAAGCAGGGTCTCAAAGAGATACTTGTGCACCCATGTTTCTAACAGTGCTACTCACAATAGCTAAACCATGGAAGAAACCCAAGCGTTCATCAATGGGATGAACAAATGAGCAAAATGTGGCATTTACATAAATGGAATACTATTCAGCCTTAAAAATGAAGAAAAGGCTACAGTATGAAATGGCATGGATGGACACTGAGAACATTATACTAAGTTAAATAACCCAGTCACAAAAGAACAAATACCACGTGATTCCACTGATGTGAGAGACCTGGCATAGTCAAAATCACAAAATTAGAAAGTAGAATGGTGGTTGCCAGGGGCTGTGAGCAGAGGAGAAGGGAGAATCAAGTGTTTAAAAGATAGAGTTTCAGTTTTACAGGACAAAAAGAGTTCTGGGGATGGATGGTAGTGATGGTTACTGAACATTCTGAATGTATATTCAGTGTCTGGGCTGTACACTTTAAAATGGCTAAGATGGTAAATTTCATGTCATGCGTATTTTACAATTAAAAACATGCTTAAATCCATCAATCGCTCTTAATAGGTCTTAGACCTTAAGGTTAGTTGCCCGACGTGGCCGATTTTTCATGTGTAGGGCTCACACCAATAAACGTGGATCCCTCACCTGCCTTCGTCAAGTAAACATTTCCACTTTGGCAGACAAAAGTAATATCAGAAGTATAGAAGCTATGGTAAGTGCTCTTTATGACATCTTCATGAAGGTCAGCCAATAAGTCAAACGTGTTGCCGCCATCGATGGACAGCCATACCTAAGGGAAGAAAATGGAAACCCCACATCAAAGAGCTGCCACGCCCCTTCAGCCTTCACCTACCAGCCCAACCTTCCTGCACAGGAAAACTCACGCAGCTCGGTCTTTTCCACATTCCCACGTTCACCCATTCCCCTGCCCCCTTACACACACGTGTACAGACTCCTTACTCGGCCTGCCCTGTATTTCCTTCCTGGGGTTTGTATGACAGTGTATGTGACAGGCTCAGGTCTACACAGCATGTACGGTGAATGTATAAAAGAATGAAGTGATGCCCAGCACCTCCCACATGGGGTCCCCTTGTTGATAGAAGAATGAAGTGCTGGGTGTATCTGAGTAAGGAGAAGAGAGTTTAACCGATTCTGATGTGAGACTTCCCGTTCCAGGCCTCTGGCAGATATGCCTGTGGACGTGTTTGGTGTGAAAGAGCCCCCAGACGTCTGCAAGGGTGGGTCCTGGAACCCTAGTACGTCCTCAGCTGTACTAGGACGTACACACAGCAGGCAGGTTTCCCCGTTGCCTTGTCTTTTGGTAACAATTGTCTGAAGATGAATCGTGCTAGCGACTTCTTTTAATTCCCTAAGTCTTACTCAAATGAAGATTTCTGGCTTTTAAATGTTCTTGAATTTTGCTGAACCAGCTTATATTCTTTTAAGTAATGACGAGAGTATCCATTTCTCCAAACCTCACCAACACCTGACACTATCAAAAATTTGTTTTCAAGTTTTATTGATTATTTGAATGAAAACTATGGCATCTCATTGCATTTTTCTGAATATTTTAAATTATTAACCTATTTATGGCTCAGTTTTATTTTTCTTATGTTATTTATTTAATAATATACTGAACATGTGTGAACTGACAGCCGAACCCAAGAATTAGCATATTGCTACGTCACCTTTTCCTATAAATTTCTCCCCAATCCTACCACCCTGCCTCTTTCCTCAGAGATATCCAAGGTCTGAAATTTGTATTTTTCATTCCCTTGCTATTTTGTTTTAGTTTAAACACGTACATATGTTTAATATATTGCTTGATTTTATTTTTTGTTCTTTAAACTTTTTTTTTTGGATACAAGGGTATCAGACTATATATTGTCTTCTAGAACTTACTTTCCCCCAATATCATTTACTTCTATTCATACATTTTGCATATGGTTCAGTTAATTTGCTTTTCTGTTGCTGTATAGTTCATCATGTGAATAAAATGTAATTTATTCATTCTCCTATTCATGGGCTTCTGGATTATTTTCAGTTACCCAGTGCTATTAGCAACAGTGCTGCGATGAAAATTTTTAAATGTTTCCTTATATATATGTTTTTCTTGCCAAAAACAGTGACATTGGTGGTCACAGAACATGCAAACATTGAAACTTACAGGACAACAATAATGCCAAATTGCTGTCCTAAAAAGTTTCAGGAATCTACCTTCCCATCAGCAATGTCAAAGGGATCCACATCCTCTTCAACATGAGCGTTGCCAACATGTTTTGCTAATTAAATAGCTGAAAATACCACACTGCACTCGTGATTTGCGGTCCCCTGATGACTTGTGAGTTATATCATCTCCTCACATGTTTATTCCATTTGAATTTCCTTCTCTGTAAAATGCCCATTTGTATTTTTTAATCAACTTAACCTTTTTTTTGTATTGCTCTGTAGGAATTCTTTATTTATTCTTACACGTACTTCTTTCTCAGTTAAGTGTGTTGCAAATGTTATCTTCCAGTTTGTATTTTCACTTTCCATGATGTCTTTAATGAACAGAATCCTACCCTTCTTCTTCCTCCTTTTTTGTTTGTGTTAGTAATTTGCATGTATCTTTTAGATTTCCTTCATAGACAATCATATCTTTTGGTTATACCTTTTAGAGTTTGCTACTTTTTTAACATTCATGCCTTTAATTTCTTAATTTTATTGTTTGTTTTATTGCATTCTGTTCTGTACACTTTTACTTATTAGCAAGTTCTTGGTAGAACTCCAGCGGCGGTTAAATACAACCCTGACAAACCGTGACCGAACATGGAGAAGAACATGCAGTGACGCTGAGCTCGTCACACTTAAATCATGAACATAAAGCTCACACAATCACACTGCATTTCCTTCGTTCATTCTTCCATCCCCCTTTGCCACTATTTAACTTTGTTCTCTTCCTTCAAACCCCCAATGCTCTTCCTCCATCCTCACTCTCAAATAAGGACTTTGATTTTTTATTGCGAAAACAGAAGTTCCCCATGCTTCCGTTACCACATCTACCCACCTACCAGCTTTGAACCCATCACCTCTCCCTTCCCTCCTGTAACTGTAGGTTAATTCTCCTCCTGAGGCCAACCTCTCCACTAGAGCATAAATCTCCTCTCCTCTCACCTATTTAGAAACATCCATTGCTCCACAAACCTCTCTCTTTCCTGCAGCATCCATTTGCCCTCCTACTGAACAATTCCCATCAGCACACAGTGGACTCTCTCCAATCTTAAGAAAAAAACAAACAGCTCTTGAACACCCTTCCTCCTTCAACCATTTCTCATTTCACAGCTCTACATTTCAGCAAAACTTTGCAAAAAAATCATATTCGTTGTCTCTGATTCATCTCCTCTCATTCCCTTCTCCTCAGGCTTTCCGCCTCCCTGATCAGCAGCGACAGTTCTTTCCTTGATGTGTAACCACTCGGCATAGACGACGGGAATGGTTCCCGCCTACACTAGAGAGTGAAATTTCATGGTACCCACCTGATCCCCGTAGACATAGAGGAAGTGGCTTCGTGGGTGGAATACCATTCCAACAGGAGAAGAGAATGTTGAAGGAAACTTGAAAAGTGGAAATTTTTGTTTCAAACTTGGTTTGTTATTTTTTAGGTTGTGTACGGAGACAGCAGTCTCTTTCTAGAAATAGATAAAGCATTGAGCAATCATAAGAATTTTTCCATGAGTAATACTAATTTGTGTTATAATTTTCAGAGTTTCCTGTTACTCAGATTTGGATTAAGATAGGGACCCATTAACACGGCATAGAAGTGGAAAGATTAGCAGCATTAATATCTCTTTACTCTGCAACGCCCCCCCCAAACACATTCATTTAATAACTATTAAACATGAAGTTTAGAAGATTGAATAATTTCTCCAAGGTTCTATAAATGGCAGAATGACTGAACTCAGCAGAAAGACTGCAATCCCTGAGCTCATTCTATCGCTTCAAACTGCTTTTTAAAAGTGTGGGCTCCTGGGCCACACTCCAATTCTATTGGTTCACGCTCTTGAAGGGGATTAGAATATAATTCCCAAGATATGCCACTTTGTTATAAAGATTATTTTAAACTGAAGACGTTTGAGATTGAACAGATGCGGGAAAGAAAGCCTTCCCTTATCTGACTAAAAGCAGCAACCTCTGAGAAATAGGGCTGCCATAAATTCCTTCTTCAGGGAGGACCCACTCACACAAGGGAGAATGTGAATAAAGCCAACCCCAGTCCCTCCTTTGTGGATGATTCATCACCCTGAAGGGGACAGAAAGGCCTCTCACACCTGTATAAACAAACATTGTCACCAGCTATGTTATCTCCTGTAAAGCCACGATCTTTCATTTGTTGTCTCCCTAAGTGCCTTTCTCTCCCCCTTAGCCTATTAAGAGGGTGCATAACCCTCAAATTTTAACCCCCTTTTGGAGTCACTCATCGCGGACTCACATCCGCCTGTATAGGCACTGCACACATAAATCAGCTGTTTTCTTTCCTCCAGCTATTCTGTCTTTTGTCAGTTTAATGAAAAGGACTCTGGTCACTGAACCTAAGAGGGTAGAGGAAAATTATTTTTTTCTCCCCTAAAACCACAAGGGTAGGGCTGAAATATATGTAATGGCTCTACGAAAAATTCTAATTCACAGTTGGGGTTAAGCCCCTTTGGAATAGAAAATATAAAACTGTGGCAACTTATTTCCATTATTTGTTCACCTAAGCTAACCACTTTTAGGAAACCTTATATTTATACAGACCGAACTCAGCTTATGTTCTTGGGGAGAATAAGCAAAGAAGAATCACTATGCAAACAGCATCCTAGTTTCCATTTTCATCAAACTGAATGACAATCAGAAGAGAGAAATCTCTCAAGTGTCTTAATCTATGTTATTAGCCATAAAGACTTCTGCTGTTGCCAGTGTGACCAAATTCTACCACCAAAGATGACGGGAACTCGGAAGCGGTTTTGCTCGGTTAAACATTCATTATTCCAGTGTCAGGGGCAACGACCTCCGGACCGCGAGGTTACCTCGTTATGTAAGAGGTAGACTCCAGAAAGATGCTCTTGGTCAACAAGAAATGTAATTACAGTTGAAGGAATAGTTTTCACATTTTTTGAAAGGTGAGGGAAGCAAGGTAACCATTCCAAAAACGGCTCTCGACTATAAAAACAAGAGCTCGCCTACAAAAAAGAGAAAGGTGAAATTAATGCTGTTTTTGACATATAAGCTCTAATTAGTTCTCTTAAGCAAATAAACTAATGACTGACTACAAATAGAAGTGTTAAATTTTTTTTTAAAAAGTGTTAAATCTTTAGCGTCTGTGTTCTCTTCTGGCGGATGTAAGTTCAGAAAGCATCCCTTCTGGCACAGGTTGTTTTTCTGGAACCCCTGTGTAGGTCTAGTTGTGGCATAATTAATCACCATTAAACCCAAGTACAGGTACCACTGTGAACAATGAGTAATCATTAAGTCTTTCAGTCTGTATAATCGCTTTTTTTTTTAGATTAAAAATAATCCCTAAAATTGTGCACAATGAAATTTCTTACTTTTTAATCCATTCAATATCATACCTCACTTAAGGTCCTGTTTCTCTCAAAGGTGATAGTAACGTAGTCAGCTATAAAATATGAAGGCACAGATATTACAAGCAGCATCTATATTTCTAAATGTATTATTAAATGTAGTCGAATCAATTTTCTTGCACTTCTTTCAGGGAGTGCCTGTTGTCTCAGACTTAAATTGATTCCCACCCACACCCCAAGTCTTAAGCCATTAACATATACGGAACAAACCGAGGTTTACACTTTATTCTATTTTTGTCATTTTATTTAATGTATATGTGCTATGTAGGAAAAAAGCCTGTTAATACCTCTTTAACTAAAATTTACCTTCAAATTGTTCTCTGTTAGCAAAACACCTTTCATTATACCACAATTTTCCTTTGACATAGTCCACCTACATAAATAAATAAAAATATCATTTAGGCAATATGCAGGCGTAAGATGTAAAGTAGGAAAAACACTTTAAAAATGTTAAAGTTCAATAGTTCAGGGATATGAGGCAAATGGAGAGAGAAAAATTATATGCAAATAAAAGGTTGTAGAATGAGGACAAGAAACAAGAATAATGCTTTTTGAACAACACATGTGCAGAAAAGGAATAAAAAGAAATTTCACAGGAATTAGCATGTGTTAATGGCAGATGCCCTGGTTTATCACCTAGTCTTTTTGAAGCTACCAGAAGCTGTCAGCCTCTTGTCACAGTCATAGTGGGTCACGTGCTTATCTTTTATTCTGAGGTGTAGCTGGGCTTAAGGACTCTTCACAGAAGCCTGACAGGAGTGAGAAGCAATAAGAAAAAAAGCCATAAAAATATGTGTTTTGAAAAACTGGTCATAAGAGGGAAGCTTTCAAGGAAGTGAGATCGTATTTGGATATGAATTATATGTAAGAGTTTGAGATTTTTTTTGTTATAGGAAGATTCTGACTTTGAAATTATTGTTGAAACAAAAGGGAGACCTTCTCACATTTTCATAGGTCAGTAGTAAAATCTGTATAATCTGTGCATTATCCTCTTCAGTGCTCTCAAATCGATAGTAGTAGTGGTTACACAACTCTGTGAATACACTAAAGCCTGCTGACTTGTACAGTTTATATGGTTGAATTTTATGTGTATCATATCTCAATAAAACTGCTAAAAAAAAAAAACCAAAAAAGCCCCTTAAAACAGAATGTACCACAGTGTATTAAAATGGTGTGGTATCTTTAAGCTAAGGTGCTTATATCAAATGAACTTTTTGAGTTCTTATATAAATCTTCAGGTTTGCAGGCCACTATCATTATCATTATAATATCGGAGCAATTAATATAGAATCTTTATTGGACCCGGACTTACTCCTTTTCTTCCTCTTTAGATTTCTTCTTGTTTATTTTCTACCTGGAATCCAACTGATAACAGCCCAGTCAATTATCTTAGGAGATCATTTCACCTGAGCAGGTTGACTTCATTCTAAAGGATGAGCTCATGACCCAGGTCTGACTTAGAGTTACAAAGATTGGTTAAGAAGGAACGCAGGATCCCATCAGGTGAATGAGTTGGCCTGGCAACTTATAGGGACTCCTGGGAAAGAGATGCTGTCCTCCCATTGGGATGGCTAAGCTGATCACTTATGAACCTGGTAGCTATTCCTACTAACAATTGGAGAAAATGTACTGAGAATGAAGTCAATGGCGGGCAAGGATGGCTTGAGGTGAAGGGTAGGCATGACAGGAATTAAGGATCTTGTGTGTCTTATACAAGTGAGAATGTTATTCTTAAAGAAGTGATCCGAAGTCCCTGCTATTCCTCCTAAACAGATTTTGGTGGCTAACAGATTTTCTCTCACACTAACTTCCCAATTTAGCATCATTGTGCTTACTACCTGTGTCTAAACGTGCTTCTTCAAGTCACTCAAGTTTGTGCCTGAATTTCACTTCCTCGGAGAGGTCTGCCAAAGTCACCCTCTTTAAAGTAGAACCTTATCTTCGCCCTTGCTCTCCGTTTCCGTTGCCTGCTTTGCTTTCATTAAGCCCTGATTCCTATCTACAGGAGAGTAGGGACTGTGTTTTGTTCATTATGGAATTCTTCTTGTCTAAACAAGCATGGGCTATAGAAAGTACTCAAATATTTGTAGAATGACTAAAAAAGTAAATGAATAAATCATCAAATATTAACTCCTTCAAACCTTCCTAAACAGCCACGTACAGCCCATTCCTAACCACCCTGCCTTCAGTCATTAAAAAAGAGGTCTTATCCGAAGGTAAATCCCTACACTTTCCGGAACAATTTCAGTTTTGACTGTGCATGTGCGTATGATGGGGGGATGGGGGCGGGGCCATGGCAAAAGCGCAGGGATACTCAAAATTTGTGTTGTGCTTTCCAGACTAAAACATGCTTGTCTGTTGATGGAAATGACCTATTAAATCATGAAACTTGACCTTGTAACAGAGAGGGGAGATAACCGATGGAACAAAATCCCCCCAAAACGCAGACGCGGAGGTGTGGCTAGCTTCTATGGCACTTCCGTGCGAATTAGAAAGTGACTTTCTCCTGCATGGGGGTGGTTGGATTGGGAGTAAAGTCTTAGCCAGATTTCAGCCACAACTCTCTTTCCCCTGGGCACCCTTGGGCAGAAAATACCTGAACACCCACAATGACCCTGGGCAGGACCGAAAGTAGAGGTGGGCTGGCCTCCAAAACAACGTGGGCACTGTGTCCTTTGAGTTATGAGAGGAGATCATTGCTTGACAGTTGGTAGAAATACAATTTTTTAGCTTAAATGGCAAATAATATTATAGTAACAGGAATAATCCACATCTTGAACTCTCCTCTTGCACCTCATCCCTTTGGGCACCAGGAAACATATCTTTTACCCACACCTTGGACATTTAAAGCATCTTACCCTTTCGAAACCACAAAAGTCTGCCCTTGAAAACTAGAAGGAAAAAAAAGGAACTTTAATTTTTGCTCGCCTCTTAACAAAGGCTTAACAAAACTTCGCAATTTAAATTGTACTGAAGGCAATGTGTCCTTTTAGCCCAGCAGTTAGGAGTGAACTGTCCCAGTGAAACCAGCCCCTTACGTTGTTTACACAGTATCCTGGGGATTTCCCCATCAGGCTTTGCCTTGTTTCGCCACTGGATTAATCTATCTATGCCTTAACGCCAGCGAGGACTTGGAGCCGACGCCCCATCTGCTGGAGACTGACGTGGAGGAGTGAAGACGGGGCAGCCCTTGTCCCCTAAGTCCGCACCCTCTCGGGTGTGGGGAGGCCCAAAGTTCACCCACCGTTTCCCGCAGGCCCTCCTGCCGCCCAGCCCAGCACAGCCCCTAGATCAAGCCCTCTGGACTTTGAACTTGAGTCGCTGTTCCTGGCATCTACAGCTCTGCTTTAGCAATTATGTGATAAGCACAAAGAAAGCCAGATCGATTAGTTGTCTGAGCAACAAGTGGCACTTTCTCAGAGACCCTAAGGAAGGAGGGGAGCCTGTGAATATCTGTACACGCGCAGGAAGGCCGCAGTTACTGTGCAGAGCACATACCTGCTTCTCAACCAGCCTACTGCCCCTTCCCTGCTTATCCTTCTGCCCTTCCATTGTTCCTAAGTCTTTACGGCTATCACGATTTCTGTTGTAATTTTTGAAAGGTGTTTATTAACATTCTTAAGAATTTTATTCTATGCATGTTGTGTTATCTTCCCCAAAATGTACCGTATTTTGCGGTGTATAATGCATACTTTTTTCCCCAAATTTTTGAGGGAAAAATATGGATTCAATTATACATGGGATGTTCTAATTCTGTATCTATATAAATGTCTTTAATTCTTTTATTTATGTTTATGCATTATCAGTGTAACTCTCGAAAGCAATGATAGCTGTATGTTCAAGAATAAATGCTAAAATTCCTTTATAATACAAAAACAGATATCTAAATATAAGTAAATCAATAATTGGATGAATTAAAATGAAAGATTCTTTTCCTGAAAGTTTGGGCCAAATATGGGAGTGCTCATGATACATGGCAAAATACAGTATATTCCCCCTTCTCTCAATCCCAAAAGTCACATTAACTTCAGTTACTTTTGCAATACTATATTTAGCTTTATAGAGTACCATAAAGTATTTTGGGAACATATATAATTACAGATATATAGACAAATAGATAAAGTGCTTTCTACTTGTATGTATGTAAAACTTACTATAAATCTAAATAGCAATAAAACTAGTACCATTTCCCAATGATATAGTCACTGCAAGGTAAAGGAAGAAGGCACCATATCATGCATTTACATTTTTTAAAAGGAAGAAACATTTCCATTCTAAGATAGACCACCCATAACTCAAGAATTCAGTGTTTCTACTTTATGTCGTGAAAGATATTTAGGTTAACTATTCGATACAAAGCAGTTCACCTACCGTTAGGAGAGGGCTTGATCGATAACGAAGATCTTGACTTATAAAAAGTCCCAAAGATGTGAGCATAACTAAGAAATGATTTGTTAAAACCATATCCATCAATGAGAGCTCTGTGTGTTCTAAAGTAAGAAATCATACCATAGATCATAAAGTAAGGCAGGGGTGAAATATTGATTAAATGTTGATAGAAATGAAATGCTGAAGCGAAGGCACTGTTAGGGGAATTACCTTCTCCAACTTGGGAATAGATCATATCGGTCAGGTTATACCACATGGTATCATCATAGTTCCAAAATCCGGAAAAGCTGACGCCTATGTAAACACCTGCCACCAGAGCAAAGGATGATGGTTAAGGCGAGACAACTTTGCAAAGGGAGTAGCTCACATCTATGGTGCTAGGCTTGCAGGAGCCAGCGCCTGCTCTGCTCCACGGGCCTGCCCGCTCTCTGCCTGCGCTCGAGTCGTTCCCCTCGGGTTGAATCCCCCCTTCCCCCAGCACCAGGAAGCAGAAATAACTTCAGGATTTTAAAAAACCCCAGGATTTTAACCAGCCATCTGACTTAATTATTAAGCATTGTGCTTTATATTGAAGGGGGTCAGAATATACCGCCCCAAAATATGCCACTTTGTCAGAGGATTATTTTGCGCTGAAGGCAACTGAGAATCGATAGATGCAAGGCGAGTTCTCTGTCTTCCCCTTCTCTGCCTAAAAGCAGGGCATAAATTTTCCCTTGAGAAAGGTGCCCCATGGTACCAGAAAGAGGAGGACACTCTTATCTCCAGAGATGTGAGTCGACGCTGAGGCAAGTGTGCCTGAACAGACCTTACGAAATAACTCTTGCCTTCCATCCGTCCCCCCACTTGCTGCCTCGTCACTTCCCCACAACGTGTCATCCTTTGAGGCCCAGATCCCTGTCCTTTGTTAAAATGGTATATAAACTCCCGAGTTTAACTACTTCTTTGAACTCCCATGTATGTTAAGTATTAATAAAAACTACATGTCTTTTCTCCTGGGAATCTTTGACAGTTTAATTCACTGATCCCTGGCACTGAACTTAAGGGGGCAGATGAAGAGTTTTTCCTCCCTAATATCCTTTTGAGCCCAAATATGGTCCTATATCATCAGTACAGTTTTAGTGAACAATAAAAAAACCTCCAAATAAAACATTAAAATGTAAACCCCAAGAGGAAAAACTGATTTACTTTAATATTTGTGATTTTAAAAAAAGGAAAAAAAAATTTGCTAATGCCTCATGGGAACCTATTAAAAAGATCAAACAAATAAGCCAGGCAGTGTAAGACAAACACCACATGATCTCACCTATAAGTGGAACCTAATCCACAAAACAAACAAGCAGGCAAAATATAACCAGAGACATTGAAATAAAGAACAAACTGACAGAGACCAGAAGGGACGGGGGAGGGGGGAAAGCAAGGGAAGGGTCCTTAAGGAACATGTATAAAGGGCCCGTGGACGAAGCCAAAGGACGTAGGATTAAGGGTGGGAGGTGGGGGTGTGCGGGGTGGGGGAGAGTAGTGGGGGAAATATGGAGACAATGTACTTGAACAATAAAAAAAAACAAAAACAAAAACAAAAACACACATATTGCAAATACCGAAAGTACTTTGTTCCCTGATCCTGCCTTTCCTTGGCCACAGCTAGGAATATTGAGTCTTCTGTGCTTTAGTCAGAAGTCATAATGACTGAGGGTTAGGGGTGTGGAGTGTGGGCGTCTGAGGATGGTTGATAATCTGATGCATACACTTTGTTTCCAAAAGGTGAATGTAGGGCCAGTCATAGTGTAAAGAATATATTTTCATTCCTGGCTCTTTTCTGGGTAGGGAAAAATGTAGGAAGAAGTGTTATTATCCTCTGCTTTTTCCAGGAAGGGGAAAGGCTAAAGATAAGCTTTGCCTTTCTAAGCACTGTAGCAGTGTACTGGGTTCTAAGTGAGGTGATGCTACGTGCACAGCGTGGTCTTACAGGGCCAGACTCCAGCAAAGTTCAGAAATAGTTGATGCTTCATTCTGGCTAATATTTTAGACTGAAATTCAGGCCATTCTCCATGCCGCACTGGCCTCCCATGCATCCCAGGGTTACAGAGGCCGAGGCAGACCCTGGGGAGAATTTGGGTTGCGCTGTAATGGGCCAAGGGAAGCCACTGGAGTACTTGAAGTTTGTAAGTGATGTGATTTGATTCACACTTGAGAAGATCATGCTGGTAGCTGGGGGGGGCGGGGTGAGTTATCCTGGGACAAGACGAGACCGAGGGGGACCACGTAAGAGACTGTCAGCCTGTGGCGAAACAGCATTGACTTCAGATTTGAGCAGAGGTGAGAAGAGGTTGCCATGGGGATGGACGCTGGGAATAGCGCCACCCCAGAATGTCCCGAGAGTAAGGCAGTCGAGAATGTGCCCTAGAACTGAGTTTCAAGTAACTGCACATATATTAGGGAGGGGAACACTGGAGAGGACCGGGTTTTCGAGGGCAATGAATCAAGAGCTCTGGATTAGACTTGCGATACAGGAGATGCTCACTGGACATCAAGGGGAAATGTCAAATTGACAACTGGCATTGAGTTTGGTCTCCAAGGAGTGGTCAGCACCAGAAATGTAGGTTTGGGAATTGTCAGCTTTAACTGGCGTTACCGCCACGAGACTGGGTTAGGTTTCTCAGGAAGAGCGGGCAGTGTGTAAGGAAGAAGAGCCAAGGACGAAGTCCAGGGTTACCAACATTTCAGGAGCCTGCCTAGAAAACGAAGAAGTGACCAAGAGGTATGATGAAGGCAATCCGAGGTGGTGTCAAGAAAGACAAGAGAATAAAATGTTGTTTTTAAGTCCTCACCTGAAGATACATTTTTACTGATTTTTAGAGAGAGAGAGAGAAACATCAATGTGAGAGCTGTGAGACACATTGATTGGTTGCCTCCTGTACATGCCCCTACCGCAACCTAGGGACGTGCCCCGACCGAGGACCAAATCGGTGACATTTTGGTGCCTGAGATGACATTCCAACCAACTGAGCTACCCATCCAGGGCAAGAATAAAATATTTTGAGGAGAGAGTGGTCAGATGGGTCAAAGGCTCCTGAAAGAGAGCTGGCAATATGGAGACCAAGGGTGGTCTTGGGAAGAACCGTTGAGTCGAGAAGTGGGAACAAGTCTGATGCGCAATGGAATGAAGATGCAATGGGAGGTGGAGATGGTAGCACCATCTACGATAAATTGTTTCCAGAAATTTTGCTTTGAAGGAAAACAGAAAAGTGGGGGATGGGAGTAAAGTGAGGTAAATGAAATTTTGCTTCAGCTGTGGGACATCAGGGTTTGCCTGCCTGTTGGTGCTCTGACCCAGCGAGGAGGAGGAACACACACAGGAAAAGTGAGATTTGCGGGTGAGATGCAGGAGCAACGCGCATCAGGGGGCCGGGAGGGAAAGGGACCCAGAGCACACGAGGGGTGAGCGGTGACCTTCGCAGGCAGCAGAGGCACTTCCCACAGTGCCACAGGCCAAAGGCAAAGCGTGTGAGAGCACAAATACCGGGGGGAACGGCGGACACGCAGGTGCAGAGACAGTTCCTTGTGACCGATCGTGACTTTGTACATGAAGTGTCAAAGGCACATCTGAGAGGGAACGGGAAACAAAGGGGAGGTAGAGGGTTTGAGGAGTGGGAAGAGGTGTGACAAGCCCATTTTGCAGAGTGGGAAAATAAATATGCCCACGAAGAGAGAGAGGATTTCTGCACTGCGCTGAGGACCCGCCTGAGATTTGTGATCATGAATTTATAGGGAAGTCAGCCGGTGGGATTTTAAAGTGACACCAGTGTGCGTGTTTTTTCTAGTAAACTTCTGTTATTCCAGGGAAGGGGTAGAGATGGTTTTAGCCTGAGTTTGGATTGTGCAGGTAAGGAAGATAGAGAAGGGCAAGGAACTCACAGAAGTACTTACAAGGATAGACTATGCAAATGATGATGAAACAAGAAGAAAGTAAAAATTCTGGGTAGCAAAAAAGAGTGGTAGGGCTACCGCAGTGAAGGCTCAGTAGACTCAAAGGAATGTTGGCGTGTGAGTACTGGAGGGACTGAAAGAGTGGGGTGCAGTGGGCAGAGCGCGAGATGCTTGCTGTGGAGGTTTGGGAGCAATAACGTTATTAGAGGTGACAAGGTCAAGAATGTGACCGTAGACGTAAAGATGGGGCAAAGATCATTGAAGGAGAGGGGGCGTTGGACTGAGTATTGCATGGGTCACTCACATGGATGGGGAAGTCCCCGAGAACAGCACAATAATCGGGTGGCGAGGCAGGCAGGGGCCTCAGGAGTGAGTGTGAGTGATAGGAAGCTCTCCGCAGGCTGGCAGGGAAGAAGGGTTCGAGGGAGGTCAAGTCTGAGCTCAAAGGAGCTGGGCGTTTTGAAGGAGAAGAGAGTAATTTTTAAGAAGTAGCTGTGAGGAGCAAGGATGACAGCTCTGCCCTTGGGGTCTGAGACATTGGTGGCCTGTGGGAGGGGCCCACAGGAGAAAGACTTAACTGGGAATGGCCAGGTTACTCCTTACGGCAAGAAAGATAAGGGGCCAGTCGGAGACAAGAGTTTGCTGACGACAGACCACAAATTCCACTGGGTGGACTTGGGTGGATGGAGAGGGACCGAAGTTTGGGTGAAATTTAAGGACGTCAGAACAGTTGATGGGTTAGGTGACCATAGGCGACCTGGGAGGTGTAGGGCTCTGGCGGTGACTGATAAAACCAGGAGGAGAGGCATGGCGGATGTGGCAGGGGTGTCGCAGAGGAGGAAGGTGGGCAAGAAGCACGAACTGGAGCGTGTGGCGCCCCTGGGTAGCTGTCCTCACCATTCATTCCACGCGGTGTGAGGCTGCGGGGACAGACAAGGGCCTCGCATAGGAACTGCTCGTTCAGGCCACGGCGGCTTGATGCTGCGGGAACCGCGGTTCTGCTTGAGCACAGAGGCGGCCAGCTGGGGAAAGGGCGGTGGTTGCATCTAGAGAGCAGGTGGCTGAAGCAGTTTCTTTTCCCAAGACGCTGAAGTGATCTGGTGAGCGAGACCCCAACAAGCAGAGACTGTCCCTTCTCACTGAGACTTTCACTTGTGTGACAGGCTTGAGCGCAGGGGAGTAAGAATGGCCGCTCCCCTGTGGCCTGCAGAAGTAGGGCAGGGGCGTGCGGGTGTTCCCATGAAGAGAAGGTGGAGGGGCCCTACCGAGCCCAGCATCCACGGAACAAACTAGCTTCCGTGAGTTGATACACAGAGGAAAGAGACGCATTTATCACTAAGCTGACTGAGCATAAGCGGGCACTCAGAGCTAGAGGTAACTGAAAGATTGGAAGCCTTTAGGAATGCGAAGAAACTTGGGGAAGGCTTATTTGTCTTTCCTTATACCAATGCATAGTGTGAATCCATTACTTTATAGTAAGTCATGGTAGGGCAGGTTTTTGTTCTGTTTACTCTTTTTAAAAATTATGTTTGTTATTTATTATTCATAGTGCTTCACTCTCCCATGTGAATTCGGGGGTTGGCTTGTCCATTTCTGCACGCACACAAATACTGTTGTAATTTTTCTTGGAGTTGTATTGCACTGATGCATAAATTTAGAGAGAGTTAACATCTTCACAATGTTAAAAGTTCCTGTTCATGAACATAACTATTTTATTTACTTTAGTCTTTTTTTGTGGCCTTCCTTAAACTTTTATAATTTCTGTACCACAGGCCTTGTGACTTTTTTCATTTGTTCATTTTGTTTCTCTCTGGGTCCCTTTAGAGGTTTGATACTTTCTGAATAAAGATTTTAAAATTAGAATCTTCAGGACAGCTGTAAGAGCATAATCAATAAAATATAAGAAAAAAATTTAGAATCTTTAGTGGCCTTTGGTGGGGTGGTTTTCAAAAATTATTAGTATATCCTTCAATTCTATAGTGCTCCCATATTTGTTCTGATAGTTTTTCTGTTGGTTCTTTTGGTTTTTATGTGGATACACATATTATCTGTGAGTAATAAAATTTTGTTTCTTATTTCTTAAATTCTTTTATCTATGTATTTGTTCTTCTATATTCACTGTTTGGGGGCTGGTGGTCATCAGTGACCTGGGAAAAACAACTAGAATAATACAATTAGTACCTGAAATGTGTAAGGACCCTATGAAGTATTACAGTAGTCATGTAAAAACACATACATAATAAATTACAAAATGTGATATCCTGGAATTGCAGCATCTATTTGTACATGGCTATTCTTGTACAAATAGGTAAGATTAGCCATGTTGATGGATTAGAATTGATGGATTAGAATCACAGTAAATAATCTCTAGAAGGAAGTAATGCATTAGCGGAGGACAGAGGATAAAGGAAATTAGGAAAGACACTGAAGTCACTGTTAACAGGGCAAAAAGTTAGAGGAAAACATAGTAAATCACATGTCCAAACAGACAAGGTGCAGTGATGGAAGGACATTCTTGGGTATTTTTAGGAACCGTTTTTACTCCATTATCACATCTATGCATTTGGCATGTACTGCCAGTTAAACATCACAGTTATAAAATACAAAATGCCATTCCCAACATTCAATAAAGCCATTCACTTACCGTTGCCTGTCAAATTCACAAGGAAGCCAAGCAACGCTACATCGTTGGCGCAAGGGCATTTTGTCACTTTCAGGCCCACCACATGTGGGAGTAACTCTTGGAGGCCGTCTCTCGTTACCTTCGTCCCGAGGGTCCACTGAAGAATAGGTTCTATGAAAATCAAGTTTGGGTGTTTACATTGAGGCAGGACCCTTGACAAATGGAATACTGCTTTCCTTTAAGGGTTTTAGAGGACCTGTGTGAAGGAACTATTCCATTGTTCCAAAAATGGGCCATTGCCTTACTCTCCAGTCGTTAAAAATAGGTCAGTTCTTATTTTCCAGCATGAGAAGAATGAGGCCTAATTGCCCTTGATGGGGCCTGGCAAGGTCATGCCGCAGAAGCACACGTGGGATGGAATAGATCTGCTTTGGTCATATAACTGGCTATAGATCTATACCTAGAAACTAAATCTCTGGATCACATGCTATGCACATTTATAACTTAGAGTGCAACTTCTGCTTCAAGAGCCCGTACATTTATCTTTTGTCCCCCTCCCCAAGCACCCCAAACCCATCTAAACAGCAGTAGATACAAAAAAAATGAGAATAAGTCTGAATAGCAGTGGCAACGAGGGAAAGTCATCATTATGGCCAAGGGGCTTAGAGGGATTTCTGGAAGATATTAAGAAGTTGGGGTAGAACCAACAGGAAAAAAAAAAACACACACAACAACCAGAGGCAGCCATCTTCCACTCAGAGATCTATTCTTAGGTATGCAGAGGGTTGGGGTCGGATAAAGTCAAATATTAATGCACAAGAAAAGGGGAGGACTTCTTCTCTTCTGAAAAAATGAGAAAAGCGCATACAAAAAAGTAAGCCAGGGAAATGTGACAGAATAGTGCTGTCACTGTGTAAATCTGCTGCCACTGCCCAAGCTTTTAATAAAATCTGCTACAAAACCGAAGACTGTATGTGATATATTTTTCATGTACAGTCTTTTTTTCACTGCAAAGCCAGGAAAGGAGCTAGATTTCCATCTGAGTTGACATAGTGTAGGGACAGCCAAGAAGGGAAAGAGGCACGATTTATAACCGACCTAATCCGCTCCAAAAGTCAAAGAAATCTGGGGCAAGGCGGCTGAGTTTCCAGGGCGTCGCATGTGTGCGCAGGCAATTACCAACCAGGTCTTGGAGGGCAGGGAGCTGTGAGCTCGCAGCTGGACAGGAGGGCATCGACTTGGAAACACCCCTTACGTGTGATCTCCTTAAAGCCAGGTACTGCATTTTAAGTGCCTTAATAATGAGGGGGTGATTAAAAAGTCTTGCCTGCTACTGAGAAGTTAAACAGAGATAGAAAAGTGATCCATATGAAGGTGACTCATAATTGTGATTAAGAACTGTTTTAGTGGTTGGTCTGGGGTATGGACGGGAGATTAGAAAGTGGGGACAACATTTTTAAACATCTCTTTGCATTAGTGGTGAAGGAATACTTCCAACTGTTAACTTGCCCTTAACCTTGATTGTCATTTTCCAATGTTCTCTCCCCCCGTCCTCATCATTTCAGTGAGTGAGAACACCACGCATGTGATTGCTCCAGTGAGAAATCTAGGATCCATCCCCCACACCTCTGTTTCCCTCGGCCCAATCCACCGGGAAGTCGTAGCAGCTCTACTTCCAGAATGCACTCTGAAGCCTCGTCCTTCTCGCCACCTCCACTGCTCACCCTGCAGCCCGAGGACTCCTGGACCATCTCCTGAGTGGACCACGGCCACAGCTGCCAACCAATTTCCTGTATTCTATTCTTGCCATCCTTCCCCCGGGAGTCAGTTCTTTACACAGCAGCCAAAGTGCTCTTTTTATAAGGCATAAATCAGAATTTACCACTCTCCTGCTTAAAACGCTCCAACAGCTTTTCACTGTGACTAGAATAAAATGCACACTTTTCACCATGATCTTACCAGCCTCTCCAAATTCACTCTACGCTGCTTTCAGTCATTTACTGCGCTTCCGCGACGTGGGGCGCATTTCAGTCCCTCTAACAGAGGACTCTCATTTCTGCATCTGGAACCTTTAAGAACTACTAATTTGTGAGCCTCCGTAAATTGTTTTTTAAGGTTTTTATTTATGTATTTTTAGAGAGGGGAAGGGAGGGAGAAAGACAGTGAGAGAAACATCAATATGTAGTTGCCTCTTTCATGCCTCCCACTGGGGACCTGGGCTGCAACCCAGACATGTGCCCTGACTGGGAATAGAACCAGTGACCCTTCGGTTCTCACGTCAGTGCTCAATCCACTGAGCCACATTAGCCAGGGCTGTAAATTCTAAATAGTGTACATTAAAACTATAATGCGGTATGTAATACTCATGGTACATTTCAATATGTAGATGATTCAGATTTCAGATTCTTTTTTAAATTCAAATAATTTTATATTGCTATTTTAGTATTTGCAAGTATTCAGTTTCAGTTTAGTTTGTTCATTAGGTTCCACATATGAGTGAAATCAGTGAACTAGAGATAGACTCATAGACAGAGAGCAAGCTGACCGCCCTGGGCGGGGAGCTGGGGATGAATGGATTGCGCGAAATAAAGGACTCGTGGATGAGGCGACAGTGTGGTGGCTGCAGGGTGGGGGACGGGGTGAGCGGGGGTGGGAGAGGGTATAAGGGGGATAAATGATAATGAGAAAAAGTACAACAAAAATAAACTTTTTTTTTTTAAATGGACTAAACTAGTAAAAAAAATTCAAAATAGCAGAGCCTCAAAATCTTGCAAGGATTGAATGACTGGCTCACTCTTTTTGAAAAGTTTGGACACTAGGAAAACATAGGAGCGCACAATGTTTGGTCATTTTTGTTTCAGATATGTTATCTTTGGTCAAAGAAACAAAACAATACAGATCTGATGGAAGACGCCCCTGCCCCCTCCGCGGTCCCATCCCCATATGCAACCACTGTCATTAAATGGCTGTATTTCATGTGTATCTTTCTAGCCCATCCTTTTTTATCTTCACTAATATATATCCATGAACAACATACAGCATTGCTTTATGCATTTTCTGAATTTTAGATAAATGCTTTCCTATTCTATTCTGTAACTTGATTTTTCACCAATGTTTTTGCGCTCCGTTCTTGATGACATATATGAGTCTATGTACTTCATTCTAACAAAATACGCGACATGTATTTGTCTTTTCCCTTGCTGCTGTACTTTTATGTCATTTTCCATTTTTCTTATCACAACGCTGCATTAAGTAGGGTTGTATATGTCTCTTGGTACATATGCAAACTTTTTTCTAGAGTAGCTCCACACATCAGGGTCAGCTGGGAAACTTTTGTTCTTAACTAAAGATGCCTGGCCTCACAGAAAGAGATCAGGTTTTAATTGGTATGTGGAAGCGTCCAGGCATCATTACTTGTCTTAAAGCGACCCTGGTGACCCTTCTCATAAAATGCAATATTTATTTCTACTCTATACTCTACATAGCACCGTATTAAAAGTAGGAATAAAAGAATAAAGTAAAGCCCTGGCCGGGTGGCTCAGTTGGTTGGAGCATCATCCCATACACCAAAAGGCTGCAGGTTTGATCCCCAGTTAGGGCATGTAGGGGAGGCAACCTAGGGATGTTTCTCTCTTACATCAAAGTTTCTCCCTCCCTCTCCCCCACCTTCCTCTCTCTCTACAATCAATAGATGCATATTATTAGATGAGGATTTTTAAAAAAATAATAAAAGTAAAACGGAAGGTAAGGAACTTGAGGATAAATACAAGATCCAGGGCTGAGTATTTTTTTTAAAAATTATACTATATAGCGCTATAGGTGATCCATAAATTGGGCTATAAATCAGAGATCTGGAAAAAAGAAACCTAGTCAGTTATAGCACTCAACGTTTATAGCCTTAAAATAAAGCAACCATTTTTTTCATGAAAAAATAGAAATGTTCTTACTAAGACTGAACAAGAAATTTTGCTGATGGTCCTGATACAGAAGACTGCGATGCGATGAACATTACCTTCTATAACACCTTTATAAAAGATGCAAAAACTAACTTCCGAAAGCCATTCTCTAGTATGACCTGCAACGTGGCTACATAAAAAATGTACTTCCATGTGTCTGCAGCACTTGCTGCAGCCCTCTCTGAACAATTACCCGTGTGTATTTAATTCTTTGCCTCATTAGGATGGTGAGGGTCATGATCATCTCTTATTTATCTCCAGTCGTTAGCACAGAGTGGGGCATGTAGTAGGTTACAAGATTTGTTGAAAGAATACCAGAAATTCCATTTTATTCTTATCTGCTGGCATTTACCTCGGACACTATCCAATAGTGTTCCTTCAGTAGTATAAATACTTAATCCATGTTGTAAATTAATTCTTACTAGCCATTGTTCTATAGCTGCAATATCTGTTTGAAAACAAAAGGCAAATAATTAACTATTTTTTAGTATGTCACATTGGTAAAATTTAAGACTATATGAATATCACCCACAACAAGTACCTTTCATTTCCCAATCATTTTGATTGTATTTATATATGCTTTCTTATAAACATTTGATGATACAATAAAGAAAAAGAATTGTGAATTGATCTACCACCATAGCAATGAATCCAGGTAATATTTTAGATCATAATTTTTCTCTGAGGGTGGTTGTGGATTAGTGAAAAGCAAATTATGTATTTCAGGTGTAATTGTATAATATTTTTTTAAAGTAGACTGTGATTAATTAAAATATATAGTGTAAACCCCAGGGCTGACAATAAGAATATTTTAAAGCATAAATAATATGCCAATAAGTGGAGATAAAATGGAATCACAAAAAATAAGTAATATGAATGAAGACAGGAAAGGAAAAGTGGAACCAAAGACCTGGAACAAATAGAAAACAACCTGATAGCAGATTTTATTACAACCATACCAACAATTATATTAAATGTTAATGGTCTAAAAATACCAATCAAGAGTCAGATGTCTAGATTAGAGGTAAAAATCAAGACTGAACTATATGCGAACTCTAAGAAACCCACTTAAAATAAAAAATATGGATGAGTTGAAAGAGCACATAGGATCTGGGGAAGCCATGGATGGTGCACTCAGCCTGGGAGCAGCTGTAGCGGTTGTGCCACAGGCCAGGATGAGGCCGAAGCTGAAACCAGGGCGCACCCATAAAAAACATGCTTGACCCAAACAGCTGGGCTGCACAAGCTCTCATGTCTACCCAGGCTTCTAGGTGGGTCTATGCATCACCCCAGCAAGGATATGGCTCTTCCAGTGACTTCTGAAGCACCTGGTACCCAAGCACATCAACTGCTATTTGTGCTCTTGCTGTCACTGTTCTGTATCAAGGAGTTCCTGGGCTTTATGAAAGAAAATGGTGTGAGAAATGTCATCTATGCTTCTCCAAAAGGAGTTTCCTGCACAACTGGCTCTCACAATGAGAGAAGTTGATCTTCTGATAGAGAACATAATTGGCCTTCCCTGGGACTGGATCCAAGTTGGCATACGCATAGTTTTCATGAACTTTGAAAAGAGAAAAATATGAGCTCTGAAGAAACACAGGTCCTGGATAACTTTTTACAGTCTTAATTAAAATTAGAAACAGGAATGATGATATGGTTCTTATATTGGTACATGAAATGATTGAATATAAGGAAAAGGATGGATTTGATATTTTCATTGGGAGTAGCGCTCCATATCTTCTGGACTGGTTTTATACCAACAATATCTCTTTCCAGATGCTTATTAACCCACACACACTTCTCTTTGGTGGTGATACCAATCCTGCTCATCCTAAATACAAAGGAAGTATTACTCTCACCTGTAATGTGGCTAAGGTAGTGAAGGGCACATATGAGACAGCCAAGAGGCCGTGTGAACAGTGTTAGCTGGCAGATCCAGGGCTGGAAGCTGAAGAGTTCAATGCCAAAACTCAAGACAAACATACTCAGGTAGCTTATGTGCCCTCCTGACATGCTGTTCAAGAACTCAGAACAACAGCAGAACTGCATGAAGAGTTATAGAAAAGAGGGCTCTCTGGCTGTTAAAACCCATGTTACTTTGGGTAAAGAAGACTTGTCCATTAGAGAAGTGACCAAGGCGAAGGTGCCCACTCTGAAAATTAGCACCACATTATTGCAGGGCTCGAATGCTTGTTTTCTCTATACTAGTTGAACGTTTTATGAAGCTAAAGTCATCAAGACAGTGACAGTGAGTATCGGTAAAAGACAGCCCAGAAAGAGCAATTTAATGGAGACAAAATCGTTTGTACTGCAAGGGTGCTGGAACAATTGCATATTCATATTTCCCCCAAATTAACCTCAGTCCATATAATGTACAAAAAGCAAACTGAGTCATCAACCTAAATATACAACCTAGAACCATAAACTTGGGTTAGGAAAAGATTTTTTAGTGAGGATGCCAAAAGTATAACCCATAAAATTAAAAACAGATAAATTAGACTTCATCAAAATCAAAAAACCCTGATACTCAAGAGACATTCTTAAGAAATGAAAAATACAAGCCATATACTGGCAGAAGGTATTTGCAAATCATATATCTGACAAGGACTTGTATCTAGAATATATAATAAACTTGAAAAAACATTTGAATAGTAATTCACCAAGTGGCAAATAAGCACAAAAACTAGGCTGCCACGTAACACTAAATAGCAGATTCCACAGTAAAATAACACATTACCCATTATAGCCTACAACATTTTAAAATTAATGGTTCAGTTTCAATAAAATTAATTGGTACAGGAATTTCTCAATACTTTAGTTTTTCAAGTTCTAGAAAATAAGTTTACTTTAAATAAAGAATAATATAAATGTTATGTATGTCAGAAAAATCTATGAGAATTTTCAGATAAATACAGAAGTTAAATTAATTTTCAATTAAATCTGAATTTCAGATTAAGCACAAGTAATTTTTAGTATGACCCAAATACTATATGAGGCATTTACATGGGTTAACAAATAATTTTATAATGTAATCAATATTTTTATTTGATGAATTTGGAAATCCAGACCCATGACTAAAATAATCAGTTCAGATCACTCTTACCTGTATTTTTTGTGATGTTTTCTCTGGGAATAGTAATCAACCAGTAAACTTGATCTCTGTACTTAAATAAAAAAGACATCAGAAAACAATGTTTTACAGTGTAAATAACACTTATTTCTGCATATTGCACTCTATCTCTTAAAAACAAATGTAAAACAAAAATATCCAATATATAAACTCTTTACCCAGTACTTTTATTCTTACAAATTTATCCTACATTATATTCATATATGTGTGAAATGTATTCAAGAATTTTCTTCATCATTATTTGTAATAGTAGTATATTGGAAATAACTAAGATGTTCATCAGTTATGTATATAATATTATAGCCACAAAATGAAATATCATACAGCCAAGCTTAGAAAGACAAAGCTAAAACATCGCTGGCTTGATGTTTCAGAGGACAGAGCTTGGTATTGACAGAGAATTTGGGAATTTAAGAGGAAGATCCCAGGAGCAAATGAACTGCAAATATGATCTAAGAGTTAAATATACCCTCTTCTGAAATCCTTGGGCAACACAAGTGCAGAGAAGACCCATAGAAGGCCATGTTAAAAAAAAAAGAAGAAGAAGAAGAAGAAGCAGCTCAAAGAACTGAGCAGATATATCATCTGCTGAAACCATAGGTAAGACAATTTGCAGTTTGCGCCAAGCAAAAAAATAGCCTTTAAACCACCACCAACAAAAACAACAGCAAATTTTTATAGGAACATAACAGAATCCAGAGTTGCTACAGTTATTATCATCAATATCCAGTTTTCAACCAAAAATGACAAGACATGAAAAGAAACAGGAATGCACCACTGATATTCAGGGGAAAAACTAGACTCAGAGAGAGTCCAGATAGCAGGTAAAGCCCTCAAAGCAACTATTACAAGTATGTACATAGATTTAAGGAAAATGTCCTAATGAAGGAATGGATAGGGAATCCCAGCACATAATTTTTTAAAAAAATACAGCTATAAAGCCCAATGGAAAATATGAGTGTGGAAAGTAAAATAACTGGAAAAAAATATTTATTAGATGAGTTCAAAAACAGATTAGAGATAGCAAGAGAAAGAACAGATGAACTTAGAAATATAGCAATTGAAATTATCCAATCTGAAAAAGAGCGAAATGACTGAAGAAAAATGAGTAGAGACTTAGATATCTGTGGGACAATATCACAAGTTCCAAAATGTGCGTAATTAAAATCCAAGGCAGGAAGAGAGACACAGAAAGTGGCAGAGGCCATTTTGGGAGAGAAATAGTGGCTGAAGACTTTACAAATTTGGTAAACCTACAATTCAAGCAACCCAGAGAAACTCAATTAAAGTGAACACAAAGAGATATTTTTTTTAAAAAAGATTTTATTTATCTATTTATTTTTAGAGAGAGAGGAAAGGAGGGAGAAAGAGAGGGAGAAAACATAAATTGAGAGAGAAACATTGATCAGTTGCCTCTCTTACATGCCCTGACCCAGGACAGAACCTGCAACCCAGGCATGTGCCCTACCTGGGAATTGAACCCGTGACCTTTTGTTTTGCAGCCAATGCCCAACCAATGAGCCACATCAGTCAGGGGCACAAAGAAACAATCTTAAAAGCATTCAGAGAAAAATAACACATATAGGGGAAAACAATAAAATTAATAATTGACCTCTCACTCAGAAACAATAGTGTCAAGTGGCAACTTAAAATTCAGAGTGACATATTCTAAGTGCTGAAAGGAAAGGTGATAAACCAGAAACTCTATATCTGACAATATTGTTATTCAAAAACTGTGACCACTAAAAATTATTAAAATTCATAAGTGAGTTCAGCAAGGTTTCAGTATATAAGATCAATATACAAGAATTAATGGTATTTCTACATATTTGCAAAGAACAATCTAAAAATGAGATTAAGTAAACAATTCCTTTTACAATAGCATCAAATACAATAAAATATTATATTATGAAAATATTTAATAAAAGAAGTATACCACTTAGACTCTGAAAAATACAAAACATTGTTGTAACAAATTAAAGAAAATCTAAATAAATAGAGAAATATCCTACATTCATGTTTGGAAGACTTAATATTATTAAAATAGCAATACTCCCTAAATTGATCTATAGGTTCAATATAATCCCTATCAGAATTTCAGCTGGCTTCTTTACAAAAATTGACAAACTTACCTTAAAATTCATATAAAAACTAGCAAAATTCATATGGACGCTAGTAAAAACAATCTTGAAAAAGAAAATCAAAGTTGTAGGACTCATTCTTGTGATTTCAAAACTCACTACAAATCAACAGTATCAAGGCAACATGGTAGTGGCTTAAAAGACATGCATAGAGCATGAAATGTAATTGAGAAATTCAGAAATAAATCCTCCTATTTGTAGTCAATTGATTTTCAACAAAGGTGCCAGAACAATTCAATAGAAACAAAATAATAGTATTGTATTTCCAACAAATGGTGCTGGGCAGTTGGAAATCCACATGCAAAGGGATGATGTGGACCCCGACGGCCTCACGCCACACACAAAAAGGAACTAACGTGGATCAGTGACCTAAATGTAAAAGGTAAAACTAGGAGCTTTTTAGAAGAAAACATAGGGGTTGCACACTCTATGAATACACTAAAATCATTTAATTTTACGCTTTAAGGTGAATTGTATGTATGTAAATTATGTCTTAATAAAGTTGTTACCAAAAAAATGAAGGCAAAATAAGACATTTGCAAGGGGAAAAAAATCCCAGAGAATTGTTGCCAGCCAACCTGCACTGTAAGAAATGCTAAAAGAAGTTCTTCAAGCTAAAAGGATATGACACTAGATGGCAACTTATATCTACAGAAAAGGATGAAGGGCAGTGGAAATAGTAAATAAGGAGGTAAGTAGAAAGCAACCATATGTATTTTTTTCTTTTCCTCTCTTAATTTCTTTGAAAAAACATATGACTGTTTAAAGCAGAAAGTATAACCCTGTACTATACATACCTATGTAATATTACTGGACTGGCTATTTAAAAAAAATACATTCCATTTAAAAAGTATGCCTCTTATTAATAACACATCACAGGATAAAATAAAATGTAATTACCAAAGTTAGATTAAAGTAGAAGATGCCAGTATATGTGCTATTTATGATTGCCAAGGTGGGAGCAAGGCCTCCTGATGTGAACACGCTTCGAAACTCCTCTGAAGAAAGCATACTTTCCGACTGGAAAAGACACTGGATTTTCTTTAGGAAAGAGGGGGTGGGGCAAAACAAACCAGTAATGACAATTCAACGGAGAGGAGCGTATTACATTATGTTAAAAGTGGGAAGAAATCTATGCCAAAGAGATGCTGCTGAAGACTGCTATCTTTAGTAATTCTAGTCTCTAGGAAAAGGGTGGATTTTGAAAAATACACTTTCAGAACTCAGTAACCTATTATGCTGGCGTCACAACAGGTTTTATTAATCCTTCTAATAATCTTCTTTGTCACAGAAGGGGTCATAAAATTATTACACTTAATAAACACAGAATCAAAGTCATATGCTATTGCATGTAGAAATCCTTATTTTGTGTCTAATAGAAAGTAACATATAAAGCAAATTTTTGCTGCTTTTTTTTTTTGCTGCTTTTTGTTGGATATTGCCCAGTTTTAAGAAAGTATGTGAAAAGGTAGCAATCACAAATGGTGATAGATACTAGGAGTTTTAACTTGTTTATTTCTCCCAGTAGTTTGGATAAGTTACCTAAGTTTCAGAGTCCCTAGCTATAAAATGGTGAAACATAGTCATTCCAAAAATATTTACTGAGCTCTCTCTACAAATGAGGCAGTGATATAATGCTGGGGAAACGGAAGCAAACAAAACAAAAATCCTTGCCCTCATGGAACTTACATTTTAATGGGATTGAAAGGAAGATAAATGCAAACTCCTTTTCCTTTGTCTTTGTCACTTTCCACAATTCATTGCCCTCTGTTAGGATGGCATATAAGCCCTAAATTCTAACTGCCCCTTCGAGCTCCTCTCATTGATTTCCCAGGATAAACACGTTGCACGTATAAATACAGTTTTTTTTCTCTTGTCAATCTGTCTTTGGTCAGTTTACTTTTTAGGCCCCAAGTCAGTGAACGTAAGAGGGTAGGGTTAGTACTTCTCTACAATTCTTATATTAAAGAAGATTAAATGTCACCACGAACACAAAACACTCTGAAAAATGTCTGATACACATAAGCAGTTTATACATTTAGTTGTTACTTTTACTAATACCATTTCTAGGCCGACTACAACACAACTACCCAAAAAGCGGGTTATAATTCCCCTTTAAAAAGGACAAAACTGAGATCAGAGAGGTTCGGTAATGCACACCAGGGCACACAGACCGTACGTGGAAGGACCAAGGTCTAACCCCAGCTCTGCCTGCCGGTGTCTCTTTCTCTAAAGCACTTCTTTTCCCATACCATATAAACACAAACGGGCCTTTTTCTTTTTTTCCTCAAAAGGCATGCACTTCACAATAGTTGTAAATAAAAAAAAGTGTATATATGTTTGGCATATTAAGAAGGAACTAGAAGTAAGTCAAAGCAGAGTGTGGGCTACATGTATTTGTCCTTGTAGGGTGTTTTTGTTAGTTTTTATTATATTTATCATAGATTTTTAAACGATCTGTGCATTTTTTATTAACTTATGTTTTTGTTAGCATTTGCCACATGGCTATCTTAATAATGAGTTTTATTTTATTTTGTTGAGTGAGTGTGTGTTTTGAATCTGCCATTATTTGAATCAAAGGAATTTGCTCGTCCCTTACCCCAATGACAATTGCAATGTGGTACGTGTTATAAAAGGGAATGATTGTTTCTAAAGGTCAGGGAGATGCCTTTCTTTGTCTACCAGGCTACCTCTGTCAACCTTCCAAAGTACAAATCACATCCAGAACAAAGGAAAATCATTACAGCCAATCTTTTAAAAAAGGGAAGGATGAGGCATCTGCAGAAAAAAAAAGGAAAACCACGCAGGGCATTCAAAGGCTAAATGAAATATTGTTCCTAATCCAAGTGGAATGGAATAGAAAGGATTATTATTTATGCAGGGTTTTACCTCCCCAAGTCTGAACACAGTAGTAGATATTTGAAAAGAGTACAGTGCTACTGGCTTTACATATGGAGTAAAAAGGAATGTAAAAGATTGCAACACGGTATTAGTGGGCCTCACCAAGTCATCTGAGGAGAGATACAACTTGATTATTTCATTATTTTTGGAGAACCCTTGGCTACCGCAAGCAAAGTATCCCTCTTTATCACCTAAATAATACAAATATATATAAATATATGTCTTAAGTTACTGATGGAACTTAAAATTATAATTTTAAACTGACAAAATATTTTTAAAAGAATAGTTATAACTGTATGCTCTGAACTCATATACCTCTACCTAAAATTCAAACCCTCTACCATTTTTAATTTTCAGGATAAAAAATCAGGACCCTAAAAAGGAAGGTTTGACTGAACACTAAACTAAAACATACCGTGTACAAGGCTACAGTGCAAACTTTTCAGAGGCGGTCTACAAACTGTCCCCGACTCTTAAGCTCCTCAGCCTTGCTGAGCCTACAAAAGGGAAAGGAGTTGGAGACTGGAAAGAAAGGTAGTTTTAATAGTCCAATATTAACGTGAAGGTGACTCCTCTCACACAAAGGAAGGTGGAGGGGAGGGAGACCGTTCTCCTTATCTGGATCTAAAGCAAAGCTCTTGCACACAGCCTAGAGCTGGATGCCATCTGTTTTTATCCACCCTGCCAATCCCGGCCATTTGACCGAAGAGTTTTAACCCACTTACCCTGATAAGGAGAGACTTACTTCTGTCATTTTGCTATTAGTTTCCTACCTGTCTTATGCCGTTCCCCCTCATTTCCTGACTTACTGTCGTCTTTTGTAGTGAGCTGATTTTTTTTTTTTTTTGCAGTGAAACATTTAAATTCCTTTCTAATTTTCTTTGTATATATTCTATAGCTGTTTTCTTTGTGGTTTCCATGGGGATTATACTTAACATCCTAAAGGTAAACACTCTAATTTGATTATATAGCAGCTTAGCTTCAATGATACACAAAAACTACTCCTTTCCAGTGCCATCCCCACCCTTTGCAGTTGTTGGTGTCACAAAATTACATTTCTATACATTGTGTGCCCCCAAACAGAAATATTTTTAAATGCATTAATCTCTTAAATTATGTGGAAGAGAGGATCTAGAATTGTAAACCAAGTTACAATAATACTAGCTTTTACACTAATATATTTTTAAAAAATATTAATTTCTTACATCATGTAAAAGAGTTACAATCTGTTGTTACAATAATACTGGCTTTTATCATTGCCCATGCATTTACCTTTATTAACATTTTTATTTCTCCACATGGTTTCAAGTTACTGTCCAGTGTTCTTACATTTCACCCTGCAGGACGCCCTTGAGAATTTCTTGCAGTGGTAACAAACTCCCTCTGCTTGTTTACCTGAAAATGTCTTACTTTCTCCCTCATTCTGAAGTGTAGTTTTCCCAGATATAAAACTCTTGGTTGACAGGTCTTCTCTTTTAGAATTTTGAATATATTGGCAGACTGCTTTCTGGACTCCAATGTTTCTCATGAGAAGTCTGCTGTTATCTTATTGAGACTCCTTTGTACTTAATGATTTGTTCTTTCTTGCTGTTTCAAGATTCTTTATCTTTGGTTTCTGAATGTTTGATTATAATGTGTCTCAGTGTGAGTCTCTGTGAGATTATCATACTTGGAGTTTGTTGAGCTTCCCGAATGTTTGTGTTGATGCCTCTCACCAAATTTGGGACGTTTTCAGCCATTATTTCTTCACATATTTTCTCTCTCTCTCTCTCATCTCTTCAGTTATTCCCAAATGTGTATGTTGGTCCATGTGACAATGTTTCACAGGTCCCTGACTCTCTGCTTTTCTTCAACCTTTTTATTTTCTGCCTCTCAGCTGCAATAATTTCCTTTGTCCTATCTTCAAGTTCACTGATTCCTTATTCTACATGCTCAAATCTGCCTTTGAATCTCTTTAGTGAACTTTTTATTTCAGTTATTATACTTTTTAGCTCCTGCATTTCTTTTTGGTTTCTTTATAGGTTTTCTATGTCTTTGTTGATATTTCTGTTTTGTTCATACATTATTTTGTTGACGTTCTTCACATATTTCATAAGTTTTTCAAACATCTTTAGGATGATTGTTTTAAAGTAATTATCTAGTAGATCTGCCATCAGATCTTTTTCTAGAAAAGTTCCAGTTATTTTTTTCCCTTTGAATGGGCCATGCTTTCATGTTCCTTTGAATATCTTGTGATTTTTTTTGTTGCTGTTGAAAACTAAACATTTGAATCTAATAATGTGGTAACTCTAGAAATCAGATTCTCCCCATTCCCCAGGGGTTGATTTTTTGTTATTGTGTTTATTGTTAGCTTTTGTGTTGTTGTTCAGGCTGTCTCTGTGAAAAGGACCAGCCTGAGTGTAAACCTAAGGTCTCCTCAGTCCTTCTCTGAGCCGGTGCATTCTCCTGAGCACGTGCAGTCACTTTCTAATTTCCCTTCATATACACGGTTTTTTAATGCCCTAGTCCTTAATGTCTGATTCCCAGAAGGGGAAATAAGTGAAAAATGAAGGAGGGGGAAAGGACACTGGCCCTTTAAATCCCCTGAAAATCATTTCAGCCAGAGGGAGAGGTTCTGGCAGCAACAGATGTCGGGGGATGTGGGGGGATGGGGGGGCAGGAGAAGGTAACGACAATGGCTCTCTGCCTCTTTGTCTGCACCCTGTGATCAGAATCAGCAATCAGCAATTGGAGCACATAGCCCCAATATTCAAAATGTGGGGCCCTTTTTGTCCAGCTTGGCTTCTGCAAGCTGGATGCAACTGCTCCAGGAACATGAGCACAGCTGCCTGCCCTGGGGGTGAGCATGGCGGGTGGGTAGTTTCTACCGTGATGAGGTGGTAATGACTGAAATGAACTATTATTTACTGTCCAAACCTTCCCCTGGAAGTAACAAATCTTCAGTAGATTTCAGGGTTACAAAGAAGTCACATCAAATTCCTCCAATGCAACTATTGTCTAGGTGGAGAGACAGATTCCTGATGCTTCCCACTCTGCTATCTTTCCAGAATCCTCTATTCTTTCTCCTTATCTTGAGTCTGAGAAGAGAGGCTTTGATGGGATCACGCAACAATGTAACATATATTGCTTTAATTTGGGGTATAAGCTCAGACTCTTGCCTGGAAACAGACAAGAGATGATTTGGTGGAGAGGATAGGACAAGGTTTTATGGGAAGGAGGTGGCTATGTTGAGGGTCCTGCGCCACCCAGATTTTCTGGGGCAAAAGATGCATGAATGCATCTCATTGGCCACTTGTGAGAAATAACGAGCACTGGGTCATCTTGGGTCCTGTCCTCAAATGTTTCCCTGAGTGACAAGTGGGTCTTAGCAAAAAGAATTGGGAGGCACAGCTGGATTTTCAGGAGCAGGCAAAAAAATTGATGACCAGCCAAACTGGCAAAGTTTTAGCCCTTGTTAGAACTGTAGCTAAGACATTTCCAGTAGTTTAATGGAAGGAAGGGGACTCTGTAGGACCTGGGCAAGTGCCCGGAGGTTGAGGGTCAACATCACATGCTATACATTGACTAGGTTCAGAGAGGTCTGGTTTCCAGTGGCCACTGCAGAATCTGTTGGGTAGGAACTGCTGTTCTTCCTGCCTCCCCCACCTCCTCCCTGCCCCAGGGAGGACCCAAGCTCAAAGTTAGCAAGCTGGTGAGAAGGAACCTCAGCTCCACGTGGAGAGAAGGGGAAGTGACCTTAACCCTTCTTCCCTAACTATGGGCTTCTCACCTAACAGCTTTCCCAGTCAGGAAAAAGAGAAGCTTCTATTATAAAACAAGGGCTCAGTTATGATTGTTACATGGGCTTGGGTATTTTGGTTACAATGAAACACTGTGTTTTATAAGTTGAAATCACTGGAAGCTGTTCAAACCACCTCATTGTAATCAAAAAAATTCATGGGGCTTCCCCAAATGTTCATCCAAGGACAGAGGAGGAGCTAGCCCTAAGGAGTAGGATGTGAATGCAAGTTTTCTTTATGATTGATTGCATCTTATTCATTGTACAACCTAACAGTTTCAATGCTATTCTCAAAATCCTATAAGAAACTATATTAATGCAAGTATCACAAATATGGCTTAAAGTGTATTTTGAGGTTATAATGTTAAACAGTTTTTAAAGTTGTCCTATACATTTACTTTGCCTATACTTGATAACGTTGCCAGATCTATACATTAAAGCTATAATTTGATTCTGAAGTCCAAATCGCTTCTCTGCTTAAAAAATCTCCACTGACACTCCATTGCCTAATGAATAAACTCCATAAAGGAAGAGAAGCTAAACAGAGGAAATTAATTCCTTTGGGTAATAGACTTGAGCCAGACTCCGGGTTTACATGTCACCTTGTTCCATATGTGTTACTGTCTCCTCTTTAACAAAGACTGAACCAAGACTCAGGAAGATTGAGGCATTGCTCAAAAGTCACCCGGCTCACAACGGTAAGTCAGAGTGGAATCAAGGTGTTTCTGTGTCTAAGAGTCATTTCTCTTCATCCTGTGAGACGCAGTTAAATGGCCACGCCCCTCTTTCCAACTCCTCTGCACGGAACCTACACGCCAGTGCTCCTGAAGTGCTTGTGGGGTTCTCTCTACTCTGTTCTTTGCCTTGAATTTTAACACATTTTAAGATCCGGTCCCAATAGTATTTTCGATCCACCATTGGGAATCTGGAGATGTGGGATGTGGGGCCAACTGTATGCATTCTTCTGCACCATTTCACTTGAGCGACTTGAGTATGTGCGAATTTTCGTACCTGTGGGCGGTTCTGGAACCAATCCCCTGCAGGTACCGAGGGGCCACTTTGGTTAAATTCTGTATTTCAGAAAATTTTCTCAGTCTCAATCTACTAGCCTTATAATTCAGATTATAATTCATACTACAAGCGACTATTTAGGGAGAAAAAAAGAGATTCAAAGGAAGTCTCACAAATATAAAGTGCTCCTTAAATGTTAAAGATTCTATGACTTCTAAGTAATGAAATAGTGTAGCAAAAAGAAAAGCCTATATGTATACAACCTAACAATAGATTCACAGTGATAGTATTAGAAACTTCTGAACTAGAGTACAATAGATAATACCTCAGAAAATTGGAAGATACGGTAACAAAGAAGTACTAGAAGAAAAATATTTTAACTGTTAGCAAGGAAGGGATATAAAGGAGAACTTCTGAGAAGAAAAATGGAGAGATAGAGAGTCTGAAACTTACCTTTATTATATATTACTCCTGAAGAAAAATCACACATGTTCAAAAGTAAAATTATAACATATAAAAGTAACAATTCCATCTGTTGGGAGAAATAAGAATTATTTCCATTTGATAACTTCAAACATATTTTTGAGTTCCTTCACTATAAACAACTACAGAGTTAAGAAACATCTCTTCCTTTAAATTAAAAATATTTCTCAGTATGTGACAAAAGCAGATGACATAACAGTTGACTAAACTCCACATTTACTCCCTAACTGGTATGAAAGATATTTATCAATACAAGTACTGCATACTAAAGAGGCACGGCTCAGGCTTTTCTTCAGTGCAGATGACTGCCGGAGAGGTACGTCAATTCCACAGCTGTGTGAAAACGGAACCTGACCTAACAAACTCTCTGACGACAGTACAGCTGCACCTTAATCGGAGACTTCGACTGCAGTGTTGCGGGGAAGACGGTCCACATGGATCCTGGGCATCCCTGCACGTTCCTGCGGCACATTCTCTTTTGAGTTGTGTTTGCAGTGAGAGACCTTTGAGGGATAAGGTGGTTTTCCTTGGACAAGAGCAGGTTTGTTCCCACGGTGAATCTCCCAAGCTCAGGGTTCCTCTCCTGTAATGCACCCACCGTGAGTATAAGTGAGCATCTCTCGTGGGCTGCATTGTGCCCTTTCAAAAATTCATACTGAAGTCCTACACTCCAGTACCTGAAAATGTGGTTGTATTTGGAGAGTCTTTCTAGATATGATTAAGTTAAAATGAGGTCATGAAGGTGGCCCTAATCCAATATGACTGGTGTCCTTATAAGAAGGGGAAATTTGGATACACGCTCAGACACTGGGAAGACGAAGTGAAGACACAGGGAGAAGGTGGCCATCTACGCGCCGAGGAGCGAGGCCTGGACAGCTCCTCGCCTTCTGTCCCTCAGGAGTCAACCCTGCCAACACTTTGATCTCAGACTCAGAGCCTCCAGAACCACGAGACAGTACATTTCTGTGGTGGAAGCCCACCTAGTGTGTGGGATCTTGCTTAGTGACCCTAGTGAATTAACGCAGCATCCAAGACATGTATCTCAGGGGCATATGGGAAACTGGAATGAGCGTCATGCTGCTACCTGGCTACTGCTTTTGCTGTGAGTGACAAGAACTTTGTCTTTTGATGGAGAAGACTCTGTCTTTTGCCAGCATTCAAGAAACAGTAACAAACTAACTTACCAGCTGCAGGCAGAGGAAAATCCAGATTTTGTGCAGCTCCTGACAACTGAGCACATTAAATTTAACTGATGCTTTTTTTTCTTCTCTCAAAGCTGGTTTGCTTCATTCATTACATTTAATTGACCATAAAAGCTCAAGCATTTGTTGGATTTTTAAATTCACCACCCTTATCACATAGGGGAGAGTTTTTTCTTAAGTGCGTTTTTTAGAGATCTGAGAAAACAACTTATTTTCACAAGGTAAGAGGAAAGAAATGGTTCGTCAAAATTATTATCAGCATGGTGCTGTGCTTCATTATATTTTTAGGGCATTCGAGTAAATTTAACATTAAATGGAGAGGTCACCACAGTCAAACTTTAAAAACAGTCTCCTTACCAGAAAAGTCTTGTATTATTTTGCTGAACAGATTCAGAGATACAGCACCGTTAGGACCTGTCAGTGTTCCTCATCCCCTGCCCCCGCCAAATTTGGTTATATCTATCTTTGACCAAAGAACAAAAAGCTTACTTTGAAAGGGGTTTTTGTTTTGTTTTGTTTTTAACATTTTCATTAAGGAAAGGAAACTGAGAGGACATAATTCAGGGGAGAGACAACTAAGGAGCAGTCTCTGGGTTCTTTATGGGTCTGCTACCAGCCTCACGCCCCCTTGTTCTGGCAATTCAGCCTGTGTATATATTTTAATTTAGAGATGGAATGCACTTGAGAGTTGATGTATGAGGCATTAAGTAACATGTTCGAAGTCTTACTATCTAGTGGCAGAGTCCTCCAGCTTCAATAGATCTAGTGAGCATACAAAGATGGCACAAAATAAAAATTTTTTAAAGTGAGGATATAACGTTCATAATTAGATGTGAATTCTCACCCAACCCACTACATTTGTCCACCATAATTCTGCTCCATACCTACATTAGTCTCACTCTTCAATATGACACTATTTCTCACTTCGATACTGTCTTCTTTCAAGCATCGTCTCATGGTAAAGAAAAGGACACACTGTGGCCCAGCAGCAGTTCTGCCCCTGAGATGTTGGATCTTTGGAAAGCTACTTCACTTCTACAAGCTCATTTTCTATTCGGTGAAACAGGGATGACACATGGTTATTGTGAGAACGGAATGAGTAATATATTTAAACCGTCTAACAGCTATTTTACATTGAATGAGCACTTAATAGACACTAGCTCAGAGTCCACATGTTCACACGACTTTTACATAATTGTCAGATATAAGTCACATATCTGGACATTTTTTCTTCTTTGGCACCAAGGTAAATACAGGGACTTGCCCCCAGAAAAGGAACCTACCTCCTCCACAGCTAGTTCATTTGCGGTTACTCCATTACCATGCAATAGTTACACATTGTGAATTCATACTCTAGTAGGGTTCTTATTTCTTACTGCAATTCACTCTTAACGGGCTGCCTGCCTCGCACACTTTTATTTTTGTGTTTTCCGAAGATGTCTTCCACGTAGGCTGAGAAAGAAGACCCCAGTTCAGGAGCTGAGATTTCAGTTACTCTTAACTTTGGTAACAGCCAATCAGCTGCTGCCCAGTACAGAAGCCTGCTTAGAAAATCCAAAGGACAGCAGTTGGAATTTCCAATTAACTGCCTCTTTCAGAGGACCAAAGGTCATTTTCTTTAAAAATCTACAAGAGGTGGAGTTTCTCAAAACCTATCATCTTTACTACAACATCTATGGAGGAAGGTTTAGAAACCCACCTGAGACTATCCATAAATACTTCAGTCATCATGGCATTGCTGAATGCCTGAGGAAAACATAAATGTTAAAGGATGATGCCCACGGCACACAATGAGGTTTAAGAGAAGACAGGCTCTCAGAGAGAGCTTCTTAACTGGGTCTTGCAGGAAGAGCGGGACTGAAATAGAGAAGACGTTACTGACACACGAAACTACCTAAGTAAATACAGAAAGCGCAAAGCTAGGGATGAGCTGCATGGGGATCAGGAAGACCGAATGAAGTGCCCACCTGCTCTCAGGTTCGGCGTGTGAACGTCCTCTGTGGGGCTGGTTATACTCACTCAGGCGGCCTTTGATGAGTGGGCTGACACCAACCCTTTCTGACTCACTCAGTACCTGACTGGTCATGAGTGATCACAGAGGCTAACAAATAATTTTTTAAACGATGACAATAAAACCTGTTTTATACTCATGTTCTTCAGAAGTCCCTTCACGGGGCAACGTAGACCCTGTGTTACGCTCATGTCATGAAAGATGGCTGGTATCTGAAGTTAACTGACTCCTGGAAGAGCCTGGGTAAGAAATATCTTTTTCTGACCCTTTCTGGTGACCTTGATCTAAAGGAGAAAATTACTCCTCAATCTGAAATAATGTGCTGAACTCAACAAAATCTCTCTCCTAATAAGGGCTCATTTCCCAGAACCCTGAGGCGCTCTCTGTTTCCGGTTTCCCATGAGATAGGGTGACCACAATGATTAACAATGGAAGCCAGCTGTAGTTTTCAGTCTCTGCAGCAACACTGTGACAAGTCGTCTCCCTAAACTGCATCAAAACTGAAATGCCTGCAGTGCTGGGTGCACATCGATGGCCTACGCAGTAGCTGATACAACTAGGAACTGAAAACTTACATCCTATGCATCATTCTCAGGAAGTTTCTTGAAGGTGTACGCAAGAGAGTGGAAAGGCATGGGATCTAGAAAGAACTGGAATCCATCTGGGACACCAGTGAAGGGCGAGCCTGGAGAGCGAGCAGTGGCACTGGAACGGCCACAGCGCTGCTGCTGGAGGAGTGGGGAACAAAACAAGAAAGAAACACGGCGTGAAGCGCGGCTGAGAAGACAGAAAAAACTTGAAGAGGCGTGTCATTCTCTGTCAACAAGAAAAAAAATAGAAGGGGATAGCAAAAACGAAATGCTCTACAATGATGTAATGTTCCCAGTCATAATACAAGATGGCACTTTTTAAACTGTGCTTTCTCTCTCTGGTTTACTTTTTTATCCGAGTTATGTATGGACAAAGTTGAAAGAGCCTTGTTGCCCAAAGCAGCGGTTCCTTGCATGCTTCACCCGTCTTCCCCTCCCCAGAGACAATCCCTTTCGATCTTTTGCTCTTCTGTCGTGTTTCCGTTTTAGGCACTGTGCATTGACTCCCCACGATGCAAGGAGAGGCTTGGCGCCCGTTCCCTCCACGCCCCCAACACGCGAGCGCTCCGCCTGTTCCTCCGTCGCTCAGCTGTCCTCTGGTCTGCTTTCGGTCTAATTTTCTGTCTGCGCCTATTTTCCATCCCTTCGTCGTTTTGTTTAATCTTCTAAGGGTTTTCTGAACTTTGTCTCCCAAACTCTCTATATTAATTTTTACAATATCTATAACACTTTTATTTTGTAATAATTGTTTTATTCTCAGAGCTTTTGATGCATTCTATTCTTATGTAATCTCTTTTTTCTGAGACTACTAATGATAGGGTTAGTTTTGTTTTGTTTTGTTTTAACCTCCTTGCATAGTTTGATTTATCCAAGTCATTTTTCTGGTCTCAGTCTTTCAATTTTGAGACTTTCCCAATACTTTTTATGATCCTTGGTTGTTTTCTCAGATTTAGAAGCTCATTTGAAGCTCTGGATCCAAGAGAATGGTCTATCAGCTGTGGACAGGGATGAGAACCAGCAGCATATTCTGGAGAAGTTGTTTTATTGAGAAATAACCGCTGAGTTGTAGGTCTTTCCCCTGCAGCTTCTCAAATTTCCTGGGGTCTCCCCACCTCCTTCCGAAATAGTGCAGGCCGGCTTGCTGGCGCTCGCGGGCGCCCGTGCTTAGCACGCAAGCACGCACCGTGCCCGCTTTCGGTATGGTCCCGGTCTCAGACTTTCCACTCGCCCAGAGATCCTCAGATCT